GTGCCCAGGGGGAGCAGGTGTACATCAACTTCGCGCTTCTTGACGCTGCGAGGCGGAAAGCGTGCCAGCAGGACATCAGGCCGTGCATGAAGGCGTGCAAAGGTGGGTGGGTGGGAGGGTGGGTGGCATACAGGCAGACAGACAAGTGTGTATCTTCTGTGTGCATGTGTCGGTGTGCGTGCAGGTCTCGAGTGTCTCAAGCACATGGACCCATACCTCTCCAGACACATTGCCGTGCTGCCCAACCACGCCCTCCAGTCACTACGATCACAAAGAGTACAGGCGCAATCAACGCACAAGCCCACGCACAAGTGCCCCTTCCTCCTTTCCTTGTGTGTGTGTCTTGATGATGCGTCTCTGCAGCTGATCCCTCCCCCCCGCCTCGTGCCCATGCGTGTCGAACCTCACGTCCACATCACAACCCCAACCCGTCAAGCAGACCCCCTCTCTCACCACGGACGACGGCGCACGACCAGAAAACACAGCTCTGCCAGCCCTCCCCACCACCCGAGAGAGCGGCAGCGAGATCGCCATCCTGCCTGACGGGCAGCTGGTGACCAGAAAAGCCGTGCCACAGAATGCCACGCTCGTCAAGCATGCCTCCGGCGTCGGAAACCAGCCGCCAAGACGGAGAAGGAGACGAAGGCGCATGTACCAGCAGCAGGAAGAGGTAGAGTATGTGGCTGAGGATGGCGAGGAGGTGTTCATCATGCACGTGGCGGGAGCGGCGCCCAAGGAGAGCCCCGAGATGCGGGGGCAGATCATTCGCGAGCACGCAATGTTCAGCAGCTGCCCGGCCATCAAGCTCTGCAGCGACGTATGCATCACGGCTGCTTAGCTTAGCGTGCCTTGGCGGCTTGACACGTACAGGGGTGGACCTAATGGGTGGTTGGTGTGTAATTGATTCAAGAGCTCTGTCTGTCTGTATGCGTGTGAGTGTGTGTGAGTATGCATGTCAATGCCCTTCGTGCAGTCGTTCACGTGTGAAATGGGGTATATACTGCATACATTTTGTTCTCCCTCCTGCTTTTCCACTGCCTGTGTGTGTATGTCTGTCACGGTCTGAGTGTGTCGATATGGGTTCGTCTGTGTGAGTAGGGGTAGGGGTGCATGTGTGTCTCTTCCTCTGTGTGCGTGTGTAGCTGTGTTTGCGCTGCCTGCCGCCTTGACCGCTAAAATGCGGTCGGCAAGGCCCAGCATGCAGGGTGTTTTGTACGAGCCAGCGTGATTTCAGCTCCATTCATTCCACCCACCCATCATGATGCATGCGTGTGCGCATATACATACATATGTACATATGTACATACATATGTACATGTGTACACACACGTAGGCAAATACGTACATACGATTTTGCTGTACACACACGAGCTGCCCTCCCTCTCCATTGCAGCCTGCCCATGCCTGCCTGTCTGTCTGTCTGTCTGTGTGCATGTGCACGGGACTCTCGTGAGAGAGATGATTTGTATCCCTTCGTGCAAGTGTTGTCTCTGTCTGTGTCTGCGCGTACGTGTATATGGCCAAGTGTCTGTAAGTGTCTGTAAGTGTCTGTAAGTGTCCGTAAGTGTGTGTGTGTGTGTGGAGATATCTCTCGTCAACAACTCCGCTCGCTCGTTTGCTCGTCCACAGGTGCATGATGAGTGCGAGCACGTACACACTGCGACAGGTCCAGAGAGATAGAGAGCGATAGATAGAGACAGACGTACATATCTAGGTACCGACTCGGAGGCCATTCATGTATTCACACGTACGTGACGTGACGTGACGTGGTGTGGTGTGATGTGGAGAGGATATATTTGTCGTGATGCGTCTTACACCCGAGGTCGATTTTCGATCATGTGACTTTCTGTCAAGATATCGCATTTATGCAGGCCTTCTCGTATCTTGTATTGCATCATGTATAGTGACCTACGTGTACAGACGTCTCTCTAGATTGCTGATTCGAGAGCACACAATTCCCCATCGCGGGCCGTATCGGAAAGCGCCAGGGCCCGGCTTTGCGCCGCCAGGCGAAAGCTGTCCTTCCCCTTCCCCCATCATCGGTTCTGGTCAGGGGAGTGACCTCATGGTTGCGGCGCGGCGGAGGACCTCGCCATCTGTAAATAATAATATACACAGTGAGACGCCCACCGCATGCATTTCCGTTTGCCCCCTGGCGCCGAAGGCTGCTAATACCACAATGCGGCGACTGGTACTGTTGCTCTTATCGCTCTCTACATGCCGTCTCTCCCTGTCCGAGACGGCCCTGTCCGACCATCTCGCCACCATCGCCGGCGTGCAGCCCGCATCAGACTGCCCCAGCCCCACCACATGGTTCCCAAGACCACCCAGGCCACCCGCATCCCCGCCCACACAGAAACGTACTGCAAAAGAACCTGAGGCGAACGGCGAGTGGATACCAATCGGCCGTTCCAATGCGACAGCGACAGAGACACCTGCTGCTGCAGCGGAAGAGTCTGACGAGACTCAGTGGGCGGCGGGGAAGGAGGAGCTGGTGGAGCGGCTGCTGGTGGAGGCCATGAACGAGCTCACCCTGATCAAGACCGCGGACGAGGGGCGGGCAGGGAGGGCCGCACGCATATCGAGGGAGAGCTACTCTATCGTTGACGTCAAGCACTGCAACAAGGGGCGGGAAGTTGCGCTGACGGACAAGGACAAGAAGCGACTCAAGAAGATCGGCGAGGTGGCCGTGGCAACCGACAACGGCCTCCAAATCGCACTGAGCAAAAGCGGGTTCGGGAAGTCCACCGATGCTGCCGGCGGTGCGTCCATGGCCCCCCTGCTCTACCTCCACTTCCGGGAGATCAGGGTGTTCACGCAGACGACCAAGCGAGGGCCACTACACTCCAGGACCGTCTTTCGCTACGACAGGGACAAATCGCACCCAACTGTGGCTGACCTGGGTGTCAATGTTGTCGACCAGGAGAGGGCCATCAGCACCACGTCGACACTCGTCCAAGACGCCGTCAAGCAACTGCGGGTGTACTTCCAAAGCCTCGCCTGCGCCTCGTGCCCAAACACGGTCTTCAGTATCGATGACGACGACATCTTCGCCGCTTTTGCGCGGATGATTCCCGGCGGATTTCGAGTTCGCCTTGACTTTCAGCTGAGAGGCAAGGGAAGCGGCTGCAAAGGGGCGGACGGGGAGGACAAGACGGCGTCTTACCATCGCGTGTGGGTGGAGATGACCCATAATGACAATGACAAGGGCGAGGCTAACAAGAGAGAGGCCGTGTTTGACTTCGGATGGGAGTGCGGTGAGGGAGGGGTGTGTCGTGTGATGGAGGGGAAGCAGACCATCGCGAAATTCAAGACACAGGCCACAGACCCGCAGAAACGAGCGGTTAGTCGACGCCATCACTTTCACGAACACACATATGAGCAACAGGCGCGCGCGTGTCTCTCTGCTTACCTGCAGGGTGAGTTCTTCTGCCAGCCTGTTGTCCCCCACACAAATGGCGTGTGTCGGCACCTGTACCCCCACCAGAGTCCCAAAGACTTCTACCGGACCACCAACGCAGATATGGGCTCGTTCATCGACCTCGCCGCCGGCATCAAGGAAAGCCTCTCAAGCGGTGTGGAGAGGGTGTCTCCCACCGACGCCCGCTTCTGCGCCTATGACGCCGACATACCGTTGGAATTCGGTTCTTTTTGACGCTTGGCGTCTCCATTGCTTGGAGGTCTCTCTGTGGTTGTCTTCTGTTGTGTGTGTGTGTGTAGATCCGCGAGAGGACGAAAAGGTCAAAACGTGTTTCCCAGACAACATCGTCAAGAACCAGGGCACATGTGAGGCCTTCTTCTGGTCTCCATTGGCAAGCCAGGCACAGCCCCCCCGTGTTGTCTGCTTGTGCAGGCGGCAGCTGCTGGGCCTTCGCTTCTAGCTTCTCATACGCAGGTACGTCAATGGCCACCTGACATACAGACTTCCCACTTTGTCTCTCGTGTCCACGCACAGATCGGCAGTGCCTGCATGAACTCCGATCTGGCGTGGAGCCCTCCGTGATGTTCGACGGCAACCGGCACACCTTCTCCCCCCAGGATCTCATCTCCTGCGTCCCGGGCAGCGGATGCAACAGCGGCGTGCCCGCAGCAGCATTCACATACTACTAAGAGAAGGGAGCCACACTGTGAGAGAGAGAGAGAGAGAGAGGGATTTCGTACACACAAACAATGGTGTCTCTCTCTCCCCTTTTCAGCGACACAGAGGTGCCGTATGTGTCGATGTGCCGCTTCACAGACGCCGGGGCCGGTACAGTGAATGAGGAGGCATGCAAAGGGGTGGACATGGAGGAGGCAAAAGCCACGTCTCACGGACCAAATGTGGAGCCGCCGTGTGATGCGACCATCCATCGTCCGTGGCGGCCGCTGGAGTGGGAGAAGGTGCCGCTGGGGCGGAGGCAGAAGGGGCACAAGTCGTCTGTGTTCGTCATGCCTGACACCACCATGTGGGACAGAGGCCTCAACCGGACCCTCGCACATGAGGAAGTCGTCAAGTGCATGCAGGTGAGGTGACTGACGCGGGCGACATCCGTGCGTGGATGAATGGTCTTTTCTCTCTTGTCAAATGCAGCTCCAGATATACCAGCACGGGCCGCTGGTGGGGACCTTCAACGTGTATGCTGACTTTGCCCTCTATCTGAATGTCGACATCAAGAATCAGCAGCCTGACAAACCTGCTGTCTACCAATGGGACAAGTCAGTATACAAGAAAGGCATGGCCTGCCTGTCCGATCTCAGCGCTCACGCCACGTTGTCTTTCTGGTGGATGTGTTGAAGGAAGAGCCCCATCATGGGCGGCCACGCGGTGGTAATCATAGGCTGGGGGGGCGGGGGGAGCACCGGCGTGGAACCATACTGGCTCATCCGCAACTCGTAACAATGCCACAAGAGGGATTGCCAAGCCACCAACACCCACCCACCCACCAGTGATCAACCCCCCGTGTCCTTTCCCCATTAGGTATGATCTGGAATGGGGTGACAAGGGCCATTTCAGGGTGCGTCGCGGCGCAAACGAGGCTGGCATAGAGGAGGGCACCACCTACATCTACCCCGACAAGCTCACCCTGCCGAAGGACAAGACCATCAGGGACATGCTCGCCCATCGCATTCCGATGCCCGAGACGCTGCGTCTCGAGTGGGACAGGGCGTTTGAGTTTGTGGAGGGCCACAAGAAGAAGGGCTGCGACATCGCCCTCATGGCGCGAGTTAGGCGCAGCTACAACTGTGTGCCCATCACGGGAAAGACAAGGACGGGCACCTCCTCGCCAACAAGGGTGCGAGAGCGAGCAAGCAACCAACCAACCAACACATGTCTCATATGTGGATCCTTCCCGCTCAGATTTTGTTGCCTCATTCGTTCACGTCATCGGTCGAGCCGACATGGGAGGCCAGCAAGCGGACGTCTATCCTTGATCTCGTCTTTTGCCATGCGGACATCCATCAGATCGTGGCTGGTGACCCCGTCCAGGAGCTCATGCTCTTCGTCCGCGTCACCATACCAGAGTGGCAGGACGACGTACGCACATGCACATGCACCCAAAAGGAAAGAGGATGCGAGACCACAAGCTGTGCCATATATGCAGGTGAAAGCCAAGACATGGACGGCCAACTGGACCTTCACAGCACCCGACTTCGACCGCCTTAAGGCGACAATCGGCGAGACACAGCGAGCAGCTTGCGAGAATGCCCTCGGAAAGCTTATGGGCTCCCCCGACAAGGACACCCAAACCATCTTCGCCTCAGCCCCGAACCGTGTCGTCTGCAAGAAGTGGGCACAGATCATATTTCATCGGGAAATCATGAAGTACGTCAAGAGCAATAAAGGAGGGGAGGTGGATTTCGCGGCAGTAGCAGCGAGACTCGATCGGCTGAACCACGTGTTTGAGCTGGACATGGAGAAGGGTATCACTGACGAGAAGGTTGATGTATTTTACGAGCCGCCGCTGCACTACGCTGCCCGTCACGGCAAGGTGCCCCTGATCAAGTGGATTGTGACGACCGCATCGGCCAACTTTGCCCGGGCGGACAAGTGAGACAGACAACAGACAGAGACAAGCTTCTCTCTCTGTGTGTGTCTCCCGCTGCAAGGGATTTTGCCGAGAAGGTGAGGACAAAGGTGGTGAATCGACGGTCACAAATTCAGTGGACGCCACTGATGCGGGCGGCTCTCAACGGACACCTGGACGGTCGGCAAGAAATCGTTCTTGCTCACGTGCTCCTCGTCTAGGTGCTTTTGTCCTCTCTCCGTTCCCTACAGCCTGCAAAGAACTGGTGTCTCTCGGAGCGGACCCACTTGTCGATGACGGCAATCTAATCAAAGGGATTTCGGGCCGGGACGTCGCCTACCACAACACATTCTCATTGGCCGCCCGCGGGGGCAATGTCGCCGTGCTGCAATATCTGGTAGAGGAGGGCATCAAGTTCTGCAAAGAGACCTGCACCACCTTCACGGCCGACCACATGTACTGGGCCGTCGTGGAGGGCGCCATTCGTGGCAGGGCTGAGGTGGTGGGGTATCTGCTAGGCGGCAAGACGGGCATCGCTGAGTGGGAGAGGGAGAAGGGCAAGTACATCAAGATGAACGACCGGAGCTAGTATGACAAAGCTGCTTTGGGCAGTGACCTTCGCTACGCACCCAGGACCCCACTCATGTGAGCCAACCAACAAGAGACAGGACACAGGGGGGGCATGTGGCGCCAATTCATCCCGTCTTCTCTAGGTATGCGATCCAGGGTGGCAGTGTGGAGGTAGTGCGGCTGCTGCTGGACCAAGGAGCCGACATTGACGACTACATCCCACCATGCTACCTCCCAAACGGCCCTGACAGTGTCGTCTATTGCAGACAGAATTCGCTCCACATAGCGGCCGAGTTTGGTCACGGAGACATGATGCGATTGCTGACATCGCACTTGGCCAACGCCGACTACGTCAAGGCCAGACTGAGGTGAGTGAGCATCAACCATGCACTCACAGCAATCTTGCTGCACCTAAGTGTTTGATCCATGGCATGAATGGTGCAGTGAGACGCGGCCAGAGTGGCGACTCGACCAGATCAAGCATTGCCTCATGCGGGGCATTCCCACAGCCTTCCTCAATATCACCTCACCCGGCAGCAGCCCTCCGCATTCGTTCCTCCAGCACAGCCACCACACCAGGCGGACAGAGCAGGAGTACATCCAGAGCCTCTTCGACCAGCGGCAGTTTGTCATGCTGACCAGCCCCATGCTGCGGGCCGCTGACAATGACGACCCCGACGTGCTGGCGGCGATGCTGGAGCTCCTTGCTACCAAGAAGATCGACGTGCAGTCTCGCCTGCTGTGGCAGGATGCTCTCACCGCGGTGGGTGACTGAGAGGCAGAAACCATAGAGACCACAGACACAGACACAGACACAGACACACACAAAGTCACTCGAGCCCTTTTGTGCTCTTCATTCATGTGCAGACGGTCTTCCACAAGGCCTCTTCCGACCGCAGCGGCAAGATGATGCGGACGCTCCTGAGCTACGACAAGGGCGACCTTCCCGAGGAAATGTTACGTCAGCTTGACAAGGAGACACACGCCTTCACGGTCTTGACCAAGGCGATCGACCAGGACAACAGCGCTGTGGTCCAAGCCTTGTTTGAGAGCGACTACGGTCCAGGCGGGAGGAAGTTCATCCACGCGAATATGGACGTCAACCAGCCATTGGAGGTGACGACCGACGCACACAGAGACATGGACACACAGATAGATCCATACACACATGGCTGTCTGGTTTGTTTAACAGGAGCTGGGGCCTCAGATGCTGCAGATGCCTGTGAATGTCTTCTCCAACCGTCTCCTGGCAGTGCTGGGCTACATTGGAAGCGAGAGCATCCTCGAGTACCTCGCCAAATCTGGTCAGCCAGTGAGTGACATCTATATTCTCATCTGTCGGTCTGTGTGTGTGTACTCCCACATGTGATTGGCAGGTCACCTGTGGGAAGCCGACACCCACTCCTTCCTGGAGGCTCTCCGCGTGACCTTCGCCGTGTCGATGAAGCCAGACGAGTGGTGCAATCCAGAGGTCTTCACCCACCACAGAGACGACGACAAGTGCCACTGCCATGAGAAGCAAAGTTGCGGCAACACGGGCAACAAGACAGAGACAGAGGCAGCAAAAGCCAAAGAGCCACAGACCCTCTACGGCACCCACATAGAGCTCGCCAGCGAGAAGAATATTGCTGGTGGATCGACACCGAGTGGCGTGTGGAGCACGGACGAGGAGGGCTGGGGAGGAACGGCTCACTGGGTCCACCTGCTGGCCAGCGACGGGAGCGGCCAGCTGAGGCAGCGACCCAAGGTGATGCTGCGGCTGCTGTGGATATTCGTGCAAGCCCTCGACACCAACCGAATCGAGGTGCGTGCAGCGATGCACAACAATATAGAGACAGACAGCACCCTGTTTGCTTGTGTGGCGGAGTGCAGGTGGCCAAGCAGGTGGTCCGTGTGTTGGCGCCGCTCTCATCCTCACCGGCGGATCAGCACTTCACAGTCCGGGAGTTTGGTGACAAGGCTGGTGCGAGGGACCAGCCGGTGTTCACGCCGTTCCCCTACCTGCTCGTCCACATATCGATGCACTGCCTTGATAAGCCTGACGAGGTCCTCAAACTCGTCGAAGTCATGAAACTCTACCTCAACAAGGTAGGTCCTTCCTGTCTGTCCGTCGGCTGCTGGATACATGGCCATTGTTCACTGTCTCTCTCTGTTTGGATGCAGGCCGACAGCATCGAGACACAGCAGACGTGGATCACCATGGACGCCTTCACGGCCGATGACACCACCACCAAAGGCGCTCAGGGCATGGATCCCATGCTGACGGCCATCGGAGGCTCCTGTCCCGTGTTGGTGCACACCTTCCTCACCTGGCTTGACGAGCACAGCAGCCGGCCGTCAGTGCAGGCGTATGTGAAGCACCTGAGGGGCATCAGGGAGGACATTGAGAAGATGCCCACGGAGCAGGAGGGCTTGAAGGCCCAGGTGCTCGCATTCCTTAAGGACTTTGCCCCATCAGCAGGGTACGCTCAGTCAGCAGGAGACATGCCTTCATGCATATTCCCATGCCTTTTGTGTGCGTGTGGCAGAGCGCCGTGTGTGGCCAAGAGGGAGAGGGAGCAGGAGGAGCACGAGCAGCAGCAGCGTGACTCGGCCAAGTTCCTCAGGCGGCTGGGCAAGGTCGGCGGCAAGATGGTGCTCATCCACAGGACCCTCCTGAACAAGGAGAGGGAGGAGAGCGGACTTGATGACACAGAGCGGCCTGACTTCATCCACGGCAGGGTGCGTGAGCCAACAGAAATGGTTGACCAACTCCTTGTTTATTTGCCGTGCCTCTCTCCCATTCCACTTGTGCAGTTGTTCATATACCTGCTCGACTACCTCTTCAAAGGCTTCCCGTCCAAGACCTACAATGCCATCCTGCCAATGAGCCAAAGATCAATAATAAAGGTAACCAGACTTACACACTTACACACCTACCCACCACCAAGCTTCCTTCGTTCGTTCTGTGCCAGTCGTGCCACTTCCCTTCGCAAGAGAAAGCCTTCTATGATTTCGTCCTATGGCGCCCCGGTGCGCCATCGGCCATGACCGCCGCTGAGCTGCGCGAGTGGGTGGAGAAGGAGGGCATCGCCGTACAGACCACTTGCGTACTCGGCAGCCAGCCGGCGGAGCTGTGGATCACTGCAATGGGTGGGGAACAGGGTGACGTGTCTACCTGTTCGTATGTCATGGATATTTATCTTTGTGTGTCTGGCGTGCAGGAAACATCCAAGCTACGTTGAATCTGGAGGAGTTCTCGCGGGCCAACCTGCTCAAGCTGCTGCTCAGCTTCCAGCTGCCCAAGCATAAGAAACCAGAGGCACAGGAGACGTCGGGTGAACTGGTGCTGCCGCCACCCGTCAGCACCGCACCAACAGTGTCTCGACGCGTGAAGCCCGCTGAGACACCGACCACCGCAGAGGAGAAGCAGTGTCACGAGCCTCCAAGGATCGATGCCGCCACTGTGGTTGCCCAGGTACGTGAAAAGAGGCATAGACAGGGACAACAGAGCAAAAGAGAGAGGGCTTCGGTACGTTTGTGTGTCTCGGTTTGTCATGCAGCGCGTGACGGACCTTTTGAAGGACACTGAGGACGAGACAGACCTGCCACCACCGGCAATGGCTCCATCTGTGAGTAGAAGGGTGACTGAGCCCTTGCCTGCTGCGGTGGAGGATGAAATGGAGGCTGAAGACGATATGGAGCCCGCAGGCAAGCCTCGACAAGAGAGTGGGTGTATTCCCCCGTCCATTGGCTGTGTGTGTGTGTGTATGTGTACTGTGTTGTGTATTTCAGCCCCTGCTGTGGAGTTGAAGCTGAGCACTGCGGATGAGTTGATCAAGTGATGGTCGTGGTGTGTGTGGGGCCAGAGATGTGATTGGATGGTGTGTAGGTTCCATGTATGGCGAGACATGCCATGTACGTGGAGTGGGACTGTCGAGGTATTCATTTGTGCAGACACATGTGGTCGTGTCCCTTTCTGTCCGTCGATATCAGAGCCCATCCACCTGTTGACCCATCCATCCATCCAGCCAGCCAGCCAGCCATGCGACAAGACACCAGTCAGGCAGCCAGGCGACCCCGAGCAGACAGACACCAGACACACATCAATTCTCTACAGCAGACACGGCCACACTCATTCGCACGAGCAAACAGACAGCCAGCCGCGTAGACCTTTCTCTCTGTACACAGACAGGCATCATCAAAATGCTCAAAGACAACCCGCGACCGGCCGACCATTGACAAAGAGAGAGGGCTATATAATATATAGACATCGAAATGTATGCATGAGTGTGAAAGAAAAGACCACTGAATAAACAACACAGACAGACATGTCGTCCAGGCAGCCATGCATCAGGTGTGTGTGGATTTCGCTGTTGATTGATAGGCTGGTTGCTAGTGGCTCTATCAGTGACGGCCCTCTGCAAGGTGAGGGCTCCTCGTCACTCGGCAGGGGTGCCATACACTCGCAGTCGGTATAGGCACACGAAGTCGCTGCCGTGATTCGACGCCACCTGCAGCGTCACCCTGACGACACACACACACACGCAGATGCACACACAGAGTGGTTGCAGGGAGGCCGTCTGGTCTGACTGACCTGTCGACAGGCCCCTGTCCGTCCATTCCGCCCATCTGCACCACCGGCGACTTGCTCACAGCCGCCGGGTGGTCCAACACAAACGCCCCCCAGTCCAGCCAGTGGTCCTGCCGCAGCTGCTGCCCACACCGCTTGACGCCCTTGCGGATGCGGCACTCGCCCGGTGGCCCTCCTGACGCTGGGAGTAGTGCTGATGGTGCTGTGGTAATGTTGGGCAAAGTGCTGTGGGCGCCGTGTGTGGTTGTCGCAGCTGGGGCGGCCTGCGGCTGGTTGGCAGGGTGGCCAAAGAGGTGCATCTGTTTGGGGGCGGACTGGACGTCGGTGGCGTTTGTCTGCAGAGAGGAGACGTGGTGGTACGAGACAGAAGACACCCAGATCTGACACAGACACACAAACCACACATGAGCACCATCTGGCCACCCCCCCACGCCCCTCTCTCTCTCTCAGTTAGCTCACTGGTAGAGCGAATTTGACAGTGACATTTGCCGGCAGCCTCTCGTGGTAGAAGGGGAAGCAGGAGCCAGGGGCGATCTCGTGTCTAGGGTCCAGCATCAGGGCGGCGCGGCTCTGCGTCTCGACCGCATCGACCTCCATGTGCTGGTGCATGAGCTGCGCCGCCACGTCTTTGAAGGCCGAGAGGTTGAACGACGCAATGGTGCGTGCGAGGGCGGTCCGGGGGAGCAGAGGGGGGCGGCTGTCGGAATACACGTCAGGAACAGTCCGCTCATGGTCAATACGTGCACCTGCGACAACGGCATGCTCAGTCAGGCAATGCGTCCCTCGCCCACCTTCGTCTCTCACCTAGGTAGAGAGATGCCCAGTTGGTGGGTCTTTCGATTCCGCCCGCCATGACCTCCACGACCTTGTCCTTGATGTAGCCCTCGAGCTTGTCTGCCTCGGGCACCACTGCCGACCGGAGCACCTCCTGCACACTCACAACGCCATCAAGCTGGCTCCGAAGCGCATCAATCGACGCCCTCAGCTCCACAAGGGCAGACTCGGTCGACTGGACACAAACATGGGGGGGAGGGAGGGAAGGAGGGAGGGAGGGACGCAGGGAGAGGAAAGTGGTCCATGTGTGGTTGTGTGTGGGTGTGGTTGTGACGGGGGACATACATTATCGCGGCGGTTGGTGTGCTCAGTCTGCTGCTGTAGTTGCTTCTGCAGTGCCTCCGCGTGCGCCTTGACCGCATTGTACTTGCCCTCCAACTCAGCGAGACGGGCAGGTTGCGCCGACGCCAGATCTGATCGACATCAAAATGCAGAGGAGACCACGGCACGTCCATCCGTCCTCATCGTGGGTCACCTTGCAGAGCGGTGAGGGTTTCCTGTGTGTCAGCTGTGGACTGCTGCAGCCGCCCGATGGCCACATTGGCGTCGGCGATGTCGCGCTTGGCCGTGGAAGTCACCGACGACACCTCTGCGGAAAAAGGATGATTCAATGGCTGCTCGGCTGTGACGCATGCGCGTTCGTGTGTACCCTGCTGCAGCATTGCTAATGAGTCGTTGATGTGGCCGACACGGCCGTCCATCGCTCCAACCTGCATGCAGTCACGTCCGTGCATGTGTGTGTGTGCTGTGTATTTGGCGTGCAGTGCATCCTTTTACCTGTAGCTTCAGCGCGTCGGTCTCGTTGGTTTGGACGCCGATGAACGAACTCAACTTGCTGTCCAACAGCGCATACTGATCAATCAAACAAACAAACGAAACGTCAAAAGGGAAGGTGACTGCACGCCAGCAGTGCACCCATCCACCTGTTGGTCATTCCGCTGGCTAATGCTCTCCATCTTGCTCAACAGCTCATCTTTGGCACCCGTCTGACCCTTCTAAGCCACACACACACACACAGAGAACACAGAGAGGGACCGAATGCAATCACATAGCCTCCCTCCCCTCTCCCCATTGCCTACTACCTTTACGTCGGTGATGTCCTTCTGCATGGCCTGCATGCCCCTGGCCATGGCCTGCACCTCACTGTGGGTCGCGTTTAGGTCCACTGGGGTGCCGGGGGCGGCCGGGGAGGCCGGGATGGTCTTGGTCTGCACCCATACCGAGAACATGAGGCCGAACAGCACCACCAGCAGCACCAGGCCAGCCAGGAACGCGAGAGCAGCTGCAACCAACACGCAACCAACACCACAGCCATCCATCCATCCATCCATCCATATGTGTCTGTCTGTACCTCTGACCCACCTCACCTCCAGGGCCTATGTTATAGCCGCCGAGGATGTCCATCACCCAGTCGCCCGTCAGCCACTCCCAATCCTGACTCTCACCCTCACCCGCCAGCCCCTCCTCACCCTCCTCAACAACCTCGTCATCGTCAGCACCAGCCGCGGCAGCCGCAGCAGCAGCTGACCCCCGACCGTAGCTCGACTTGCGCGTGCCTCCGGTCTTGCGGCTGGGCGAGCGGCGCAGACGACCGGTGCCCTTGTCACCCTCACCGCTCTCCTCGGGCACGGGAGTGTCCTGAACCATCAACCACCACACACACACACACACACCACGCACACACACCAATGCATGCAGCAGGGCAGGCTGTCATGCGTTGGTCATTCTGCATGCATCACCTGGAGTCTCATGTCCAGACCCCCTCCCACGTCGCGCCCAGGGGTGCGGGGATTGCGGCCGCGACGACGGCTGATCACAGCGCCACAGTCACAGAGAGAGGAAGAGCAGCATCTGACGTGTGGATGTACGGGTGTCAGATGGCGAGTGCTTACGTGTGCACACGTTCGGCGATGGACTCTCCTCCAGTCGAGTTGTCATCGTCATCTTTGTCGTCATGTCTGTTGCCGAGGTCGCGGAGAGGGTGGCGGCGACGGGCAGCGACCGCTGCTGCCATTGGTGGTCAGCTCAACCAACGTCACCTGATGCCATGGGATGGATGGCCATGCACATGGCAATTGGCACATGGCAAACGCACAGAACGGACAAGACGCTCAGTATTTCCATTGATGCTTGTGCATTCACGTCGGCCTGACTGCGTCGTGAATGCTCCTTACTCAGAGGTCCTCGTTCGTGTGGGATGCCGAATGCCGTCAGCACAGGCGTGACACTGACGGGCAATGACGGGAATCAGCAAAAGCACCTACCGCAATCACAGCGGTGGCTCCGCAACAGACGGCATCATGCTTAATCAAGGTGGAAATGAGAAAGGCCCAAACTCAGAAGAGCTCGCATGTCCGATCGGTGTGAAGGTTGCCAAGGATGGATATCTGTGACGTCTGAGCGTCGCTGGTGGACGAGCAGGGCATACTCTTGCACCCCATCGACAGCAAAGAGATGCCTTCGTTCATCGGCGGCAGCTGTGGGGCCATAGCTGTTGAAGGGCCGTTCTGATGGCCGAACGACACTGCCCAAGCAGAGAGGAGGTGAAGCAGACTGAGAGGGGAATGAAACACCCACAAGGGCGGCCGCACCCGAACAAGTTGTGCGCTCTCTTTGTTTATTGATCATGATTTCAGGAGCGTGTAGATGGCATGTTGGTTGGTGACGGTGATGGCACTGAAGACCCACCGCAGCAAAATGGACAGCAGGTGCGCGTGTGATGCACTCACGCACAGCCGGCATTGCAGCCAGGACAGGTGCTTGTCCATGTCTGACTGATTTGTCGTGTCTGCCACAGGCTGCTGGTTCAGCGTCCATGACCGTCGGCGAGGAGGGTGCCCTCAGCATGGGGCTCTTGCACGACGTCATAGATAGAGTGGTGAGCATCAGCACAAGTGCACCCGGCCGTGTGTGGCCAATCTCAATGTGCGACGCTTTTGCTTCTCTGCAGCCTGGTCTCGTTGTTCGCTTCATCGCCTTCCCCCCGCTCCACCTGGTGATGCAGCTGTCGTGCCACACACGACAAGAGGCAGCCCCGCACCACAGCCACCTCACCATCAGCGCGGCCACGGCGGCCGAGCGGTCTTTCTGGCGACGACTGCCCCTCACGCTCATCCAGGACCTGGCGGCATGGCTCACACAGCTGACGGCCATCACCCTCCGCTGCCCAGTCCAGATCGCTGGCTGGTGCCTCGACGTTATGGTGACGATCGTTGAGGGGCACGCCGAGGCGCGACGGGCCAGGGGGATGCACCGAGGGACGCTCACCAGCATCAGCATATTCCCTGACGTCCAATTGGCACACAGACAGCGAAGCGCCCTCCGCCAAACCACTCTGGACCGTCCCCCGCCCTTTGTCACACGGCCGACCCTCGACGCCCTCGCATCCATCACTGGCCTGCAGGACGTCCATGAGTATTCGGTGGCCGAGAGAGGGTGGGACATGCCCTCCTTGGCTGTAGTGGAGCAGGAGGGCTGGAACGGCGACACATTGGGGCGATTCATCGTCTCGTCCCGGTGTCTGAAGCGTGTGAGTGGACGACTCCTCCGGCGCCCCTGGGTGGAAGCCTTCAAGGGCATGCCGGTGGCCGCATGGGGCGAGGCAGGCCCACTGAGCCAGCTGGAGGCCATCGGCACCATCGAGATCACTGGCTCCATTCAGCAACATCTAGACCAACTCCAGCTAGGATCACCCGGAAACACCCAAAGCAGAGCTTTGCATACACATCTTGTACGCAGGCGACGCTGACATCGCGTGGCTGCCGGAAGCGAATCAAGCAGCTCGACCTCAGCATGTCGTATCTTTGCACCGTGGACCAGTTCAGCATACCCCATCTGCGCACCATTGACCGGTTCGTAGCTGCCTGCTGCGCGTCGCCCGACATCCCAGTCACGTGTTCCAGCCCATGGGCGAGATTCAACCCGATGATCCTGTGCCACGACGGCTTTCCCGCCCATCCGTCCCCCGCCCTCACCTCCGTCATGAAGCAGATGGCCAAGCAGGCACACGATGTGCGGTTCGACCTCACCACGGCCTCATCCCTCACACCCGCCCCCAAGCAGTCAGCGATCGACCTGGCCGGGCAGCTGTCCTTCGACAACGCCAAGAGAGTGACGTTCAACAGCACCCATGTCGATCCCAACTCCCCGGTCCGCCGCCCCTCATTCATCGAGCACATGCAGCCCCTCCCCAAGGCCGATTGGCTGTGCCTGTCCGGCCGTCTGAATGAGGAAGCCAGCAGGTCGCTGGCTTCGAAGATGCCCCAGCAGCTGGATAGGCTGGAGATCACCAGGATGCCGGTGGGTGATGCGGTGGGCGCCATCCGGGCGCTGGGCAAGGAGCGGGAGGTGGGGTGGGTGGACCTCAGTCAGGTGGTGATGGACAGAGAGAGATATGGCAGGGCGGATGGCATCGCTCAGCTGGTGGGGGCGGCGGCCGACTTGCCCGTCATCAAGTCACTTGAGCTTCATTTGACGGGTCAGCGCCACACACAGGACGAAATACACAAGGGATTGTCTCTGTGTCCTTTCAGTTCGTGAGGACCTGGCAGGCAAAGCTGAGGCCGAGTATGTGCGTGGCATCCTCTCATCGCTTCTGCAGCAGCTAAGAGGCCTGCGGCGGCTGGAGATGTACCTGCCGGACATTTCCTGTCCGCAGGCCGTGACGGATGGCACGACTGTCCACGGCTTCCACATTTGATGGAGCCGGACCGCTTCGTGGGGGCGGACGCTTACCGCCTGCCAGTATTGAGCAGGTGAGGTGCACCAGTGTCGCTCATTTGTCGCGTTTCATCACCTGTGTCACTTATCTGACCAGGTGGCCGGCGGCCTGGCCATTGCATCCCCTTGAGACGCTCTGGTGCAGCTGGCTGAGAGGGGATTGTGTAGATGACCTGTTGGCTGACGTGTGTACGGATGGTGGGGGGCCCACCAACACGGCGGCCGGCCATGTGTGTAGGAGGAAGGGACGTTGCATCTGAGCGGGACTGCTGAATGGGTGCACAGGGGGTGATACTATACATACATGCTTACATGTTGATGACCAATACATTGATTGATGCATATCTGTCTGTCCACACGCCCGTCCCTTTAGCCCGCCACACCCACACACACACACCTACCCACCAGGCATACATTCCCACACACCAATCGAGAAATTGCTCATTCTTAATGTGTCAAAAGGAACGTCTCCCTGTCTCACACCGCCTGAATCGACGTGTGCTCGGCCTGGCTGTTTGGCCAGCACGAGCAAACACCGACAATTAAGGCCAATGTAAGATGGAGAGACGCCAGCCAACCACACCTCAGAACACGATGCACGGACAAATGCGGACACCATTTATGAACGCCAGAAAATACCTAACATGTCACAAGCATCAGGCGAGATCATTGTCACACACACACACACACAGTCCCCTCAAGCTACGATGGAACAGAAACTTGAAATGTCTGAATGTCTACCCCCTTGCCCCCTTCCTCTCTCGTCAGTTGATGCCCAGCGACACGAAATGCCCATCTTTGTCGACGTAGCCCAGCTGCCCCCATCGGAAGTCGCAGTCGGTGTTGCCCAAGTGGCTGTTGAAGCCCTTGATGATGGACCCCTCCAGGCCATACACGGCTGCCTCGTCCAAACGCGCCCGATGCACCACCTCTCGCACTCCGAGGCGCCTGTGTTGGCCGTCTTCTCCCCCCTTAATGGCGAAGCACTGCAGTGGCGGCTCGCCCATCGTCGGCCCGCCTTGCTCACCTCCCGTCACGTTCACCACACTCTTCAACCACTGCAGCAGCCCCTCTCCCGTTCGTCCCTTGCCCATCGCAGTCTTGCCCACCACCTCTCGATTGCTGACCGTCTTGGTGGCGGCCTGGTTGATGACGTGGTCGACGGCGGCACCCACGCGGCGCTTGAGAGGCGAGTCGGCGATGAGGAACTCGTCAACGACGGCACGGGCAGCCGACGGGTCGTGAAGGAATGCGCCGATCTTCCATGCGATGGATATCGCCTCCTGTGGGCCGAATGTCAGGCTGGACGGGGAGGGGTGAGGGTAAGCACCGTCGTGGTGGGGCGCCATTGGCAGCAGACAGCCGACGCGGACGGCGGTGTCGCGCTGCCGCTTGAGTGCGGCATTGATGGCAATCATCACACGCTGCGGCAGCTCGTTGAGAATCGCCGCATACTCCTCCAGCACCAGGGACCGCTTGTGCTGCGTCTCTTGGGTGTGCGAGGGCAGCAGGTCGATCGACCCCCCGTGACGCAGCAGGGTGCGGATGCAGCGCTTGGCCTCGTCGACCCGGTTAGGAAGCATCGTCCACATAGTAAGGCGGACCCCGACGGATTTGCCATGGTAGCGTGTAAGCTTGCTCTTCAGCCCGCTAGCCGCCCAATAAAGGGCGGTCCTGACGCCGCCCACATGCAGAAAGCGCCGGTTGACCTCGGTGGAGGGGATGCGGCCGAGTAGATACGTCAGAGCTGTGTGGTTGGACGCCCAGGCCGCGCACTGGAGTGGCGTCAGAGGTGTTGCCTCCCCACCGCCTCCACCTTGCTGTCGCTGCGTCAGCGAGGCTCCACGCTCCACCAACATGGCCAGGTACTGGTCGATCCAGATCTGCGAAATGCTGATGAATGCGACGCGGCAAACGCTCATCACAGTCGTCTTGCCGTCGATGTCCATGTCGGTGGCCAGGGAGGGGTCGTGCTGCAGCAGACGGGCGGAGATGTTGAAGAGGACGTCTTGCTTCTCGGCTGAGAAGTAGCCGGCGAGCGGCTGGCCGAGCCTGTCGATGAAGAGGAGAGGGCTGCTGGCGAGGGACGGGTGGCCGCGGACTGCCACATGGTGGCTGAGAAGCACCTCGACGGCCGTCATGTTGAGTGATTCCTTGGCCATCTTGATGGGAACGATGGTGTGGTCGTTTCCTCCGTTGACGCTCGCCCCTGCCAAGATGAGCTCATTGAGGATGGCCGCCTGCACCTCCCGCGTTCGCCAACGCCACACCGGGCTCGCGGACTTGAGCGGCGGGAAGATGCTGCTGGTATCGATGGCCAGCGAGAGGATGCCGACATGTTGGATGCGGCAGCTGCACGTCAGGGCGACCAGGACATTGACGTCAGCGCCAAGGCCGATGAGCCGCCGAATGCCGTCGAGACTGATGCTGCGGAGGAAAATGCCGCGAACGAGGGCCCTCGTGGGCTGAGTCGCGTTGGCGGGCAGGCGAACATCCACGCTGTCGAAGATGACTGACGTCCAAATCCGGTCGGCCACTGATGTGAAAACAAACAGAGAAGCGTCCATCTCCAGTGTCTGACAGGGTTGACAGCGTTGTGGACGCGAGCCGACAGCGCCTACTGACCAGAGAAATGGAAATGAGTGATACAGTATCAAATCGTCCCATCATTCATTCATTCATCTCAGCCTGACTGCGTCATGGATGCTGCTTACTGGGAGCTTCTCTGACGTCAGCCAAGGCCTCCGCAGCGAGCGAAGAGAGAGCAGCAGTGACGGCGAATAAGCGGAAACAGCTACCGGAGCCACAGGGCCTTCGTACTCAGGCACGAGCAAGCGGAGCACAGCAGAAGAGCAACGGCGTGGATCAAACGTTTCACCAAGATCTTCCTTATGCAGCGTTCGCGTTCTCCAAAGTGAATGCCCTCCTCAAAGCTCGCAGTACGATCGGGCGATGAAGGATGGATATCTGTGACGTTTGAGCGTCGCTGGTGGACGAGCAGGGCATACTCTTGCACCCCATCGACAGCAAAGAGATGCCTTCGTCCGTCGGCGGCAGTATTGGTTCGGTAGAGGTTGGAGGGCCGTGCTGATGGCCAAACGACACTGCTCGCGCCAAGGAGAGGTAAGGCAGACTGAGAGCGGGATGAATAGCCGCACCCAAACAGGATGTGCGCTCTCTTTGTTTACAGGAGCATGTAGATGTTGCTTGGTGACGGTGATGGCGCTGAAGACCCACCGCAGCAGACTGCACAGCAGGTGCCCGTGTGATGCACCCACAATACAATCCATTTGCACTGACACACACAATGAATTGATGGGCTGTGGCTGGCGTGTTGTCTGTCTGCATGTGTGATGCCCTGTCCGTTCTGCAGCAGTCGAATGTGTCTTTGCCGCTGTGGAAGGTGCCGCCCGACACCCTCTCGACCATCCTCAGCCCACTGCTCTGCACGCAGTTCATCATCGGCACACTCTCACTCGTCCGCAAGGCCTTCACGACCATCGCCAACGACCCCTCCACACACCACCACGTCCGCATCCAGACTGTCAAGCCCATCCATCTCACCGACACGCAGCTCCGTGTCTGGTGCCTTCGACTCAGTAAGACCAAGCGTGCGGTGATCACCTGCCCGATGACGGAGAGCATGGTGCGCCTGGTCGAGGGCATGCGGAACACGCTGACGTTCCTGGAGATGAACGAGCCGGCGTCACGGCTGTGTACCCCGTTCCCAGGAGGCTGTCAGATGAGCGAGAGAGACCGCTGGTGGACTTTCCGGTGCTTGGCGAGGTGCGGGCGGGCGGCATGTGGGTGCAGGCGGCGCCTCGCAAGCGATGGGCACTCAAGTGAGCGAAGACACGACCCACACCAGCCAGGCGCATCTGTGGGCGGGCCTCATATCTCTGGTTTCAGGTCCCTCGTGTCACTGAGCATTCGCGATGGGGATGTCACGCCGCAGTCGTCGTTTGCCGAGGGTGGTTTCGGTGTGTGGTGGTCCTTCGGGTCATGCCTCCGGTCGCTGGAGTACAACGATAGCGGGTGCACTGCATATGGCGTGCTGCTGGATGAGCTGCCGGCGACCTGAAGATACTGCGACTCAGCAGCGAGCGCTTCTGCTTCACCGCCGCCGGCGCACAGCGGATGGCTCAGCGGGGCCTCAGGCTGGAGGAGGTCGACATCGCCCTGCGTGGGTTGGCATCCACCTCACGTGTCGAGGTACGAGTTCCATTCATGACAGTTCATTCATCAGGCAGATGAAGACAACGATGCAGAGACAACACTCTGTGTGTGTGTGTGTGTGTGTGTGCCTATCAAACAGGCGGTGGATGAGGTCTGCAAGTTGTGCCTGGCGCCTGAGGCCAAAGAGGACTGGAGCAGGAGTGACATTGCTTCGACCTGCGACTGCTGTGGCAGCAGACGGATGATGCCGCTGGTGACACCATCAAGCTGCTGGCCTCCGTCGCCACTAGTGTGCACTTTCCCTACTTACTCGACTGCCTTCCAGGCCCCCTCTCCCCTACTCTCCCGCCTCATCCCATCGCTCACCTTTCCTCGAGCACGCTGCCTGAAGGTCGACGAGTGCAGCCTACCAGAAGGGCCTCCCTATGGCTCGCCTGTGCCTGAGGTGGTCCTGTCTAATGTGTCACACCTGTTTCCACACGTGACACGGGCGGAGGTGAGTGATGTGGACGGTGTGTGCTTTGTGTGTGAAGTGAGGTGATGTGTGGCTGTTTCTGTGTGTGTGTTTCAGGAACGCTGCTACAACTTCACCTGCTAATCCGGAGTTCCTGACACCAACAGATCCCCCACAGAAAGACCGACAGACAGCCCCCCCCCCCCCAGACTGACCCAACAGAAAGACCCCACAAAGAGAGGAAGACCCCACAAAGACAAACAGACTAAACAGGCTGACCCCCGTGTATGATCGGACGAATGCTGACGACTGCATGCGTGACAGACACCACACCGTTGCATGGACGTTGGAAGGTCTATCCCTGATTCAGTCGGTCATGGTGTTGTGTGGTGACAGCGGGGCACGGCACTCGCTATGAAGCCAGTAGAGAGCCTCGTACTGCCTTTCATCGAGGTGGTCGAGGAGCCGATTGAGCACTTGCTGCAGCTAGACAGGATCGTTGTGGGCATCACTCTGGAGGGGGAGGGGTGGGAGGGGGTTCTAGGCAGTGACATTGCCACCGCGCTGCAAGAGCACCGGACGCCCCATCCTGACCCAGCGGATGGGCGTCGGCTGCCCTTTTACGTCTGGCTGCGCGAGTCAGGCTTTGAGATGGTCGAGCTGCCCCGGCTGGCCTTCGACTGTCGCGTAGAGGTCCACCGGATCGGTTTTGTCGATGAGCCGATGCAGCGACGGATCACTGACTACTTCTCTGCTTCTCACAGCCAGTGATGAGACAGACACAGGCAGGGGGAGGGAGGGAGCGAGGAGGCTGTACAGATGGTGGGGGTCCCGGCCTCCTCGTACATGGGTTGTCTAAGCGAACGGTACACCACCCGCCAGCAGCAGCAGGCCTGCAGGTGGCCGGATGATGCACCAATCGCTGGACACGCACAAGTGCAGTTTGCTCACATCAATTGGCTCTTCGGTCTCGTGTGAATCTCACGTTTGCCTCATCGCGCATCAACCGACGTGGACACGTCCGAAACCGAAAGAGAAAGACGTCACCAGAAAAGCAAAGGCAGGCCAAACGGAGACACTGTCTGCACAAAAAATCAGTTATGTCTACACGCACCGTCGCAAACAGTAGACGGGATAACGACAGAGAGAGACAGACAGACAGACAGACAGACAGACAGGCAGGCAGGCAGACAGACAGACAGACAGACAGACAGAGACACAGAGAGACAACTTGAAGGGGCAGCCAGCCAGCATTCTCACTCCTGGCCAATGGCCATCTGCCAACCGTTGGTTGGCAAAACCCCAACGGCTGCTTCCTTTCTTGCCGGAATCTCGCGCGAAGCCTCGCCTCGCCGAAAGCATCATCATGTCAGTGGTCGCCCTCGCCGCTGTGTGCCTCGGCCTCTACACCGTACGCCGTGCTGACGGCCAAGAAGATTGCTTCAAAACAAATATTTGTAGGTGTACGCAGGCCACACGGCACAACAGCAACACACGACTTATCCGCCCTTGCGTGTGTTGCTGTTGCCTTCGTGCAGGCGTGATAGCCGGCGACACCTTTGCCCGTCCCGAAGGTGATGTGGTGGCAGCCGACGACCTGATTGCCAGGGACGATCTGGTTGCCGATGACGATGTGGTTGCCAAGGACGATCTGCGAGTTTTTGGTGACGAGGTGCGGGCCCTAAATGCGGAAGTTAGAGCCAGAAGTAAGCAACAAGCAGCGAGTCCTGTCGCCCGCTTGTGGACGTGCTTGTCTTCCAGGCGTGACTGTCGGTTATCCTGACATTACCCTCTTCTGGTCCGCTCTTGGCGAGGATGGCGAAGTCGTGGCAGAGAGCGTCGTATCCGCCCCTCGCATCCGTTCGTATAACGATCCATTAAGAGCTCAGTCACCCGCCCTTTTCAGAGAGCGTCTGAGCGTGATGGACGGGGGGGACATTTCGGCGGGGAACAGCATCACTGTCGGCAGGCCTGACCCTGACCTGAGGCCAGGCATAACTCGCGGAGAGGGCAACATCGTGGCACAGAACACCGTTCTGGCCCAGGACATCTCTGCGCTTGGAACCATCAGCGGAGAAGACGGGTGCAGCTGCGGCGGGCTGACTATTCCAGGGGACGTTGAGCTGAGCGCCACCGACAACCAGCCGCCGGCAAGCTTCGCAGAGTGGGGCGGGAGGAACCGATCATCTGCTTACGAGGCCTTCAGGCAGCTGCCTGTCCACACCAACCCACACAACAGGCTGACGCTGGCCGCCCAGGACGTCAGCCGCCTCTTCCCATCGGCAGTGGGGGCTTACGAAGACAATCATCAGCCGAAGAAGGGCGGCAAGGGGCGGCCGACGAAGCGCACGACCATCGATCTGACCCAGCTAATCTTCACGCAGATGTCCGTCATCCAAGACCTCCAGGCCCGTGCGTCTGTCATCCCTGACCTCCAGGCCCGCATCGCCCGTCTGGAGAATGCGCTTGGCGGACACCAGGGTAGCATCAAGGCACACACAATAGCCAAAGGAGCTCACGTGTCTGTCTGTCTGTCTGTCTGTCTGTGTCTGTGTCTGTGTCTTTGTGGTTGGTGCAGGCCGAGGCGGCAAGAAGGGCAAGGGCGCCGGTGGCCCACCCTCAGTTGCTGGCGGGAAGGGCGGCAACAAGTGAGATGTCTATGTGTCTGAGTGAGTGAGTGATGAGTGAGTGTGTATACATACCCTTTCTGTGTTCACAAGTGCGCACTTGTATTGCATTGTATGTTATGGTATGGATCGTGTGGTGAGACAGAAGCGCTTTTCTCTGATGCCCTGACTGACTGGAGAGAGAGGCGAACCAATGGAGGGAGGGGGGCCTGGTTTGCCTGGGCTCATCACGAGTCTGTGTGTCTGTGTGTCGACATAGTTGTGTGAGTGCCGCTGTACACTTCATATGTACTGGACGGCAGCTGTCCGTGTCCTTGTCCGGCGGGAGAGATAGGTGCGTGCAGTGCTAGGTCATCCATCGCAGAGAGGGCAGCGAGGAGGGGGGCGGGACCTGCGTATGCGGTGAGTCTAAGCATCTCTTGGGGTGTCTCTAGATCATTTATTTGTCTGCCAATGTGCACATCCTACTCGTATATTTGTGCCGCTGGCTGCATCCATCGCATGTGTGTCGGCTCACGAATCAATCGCATGGGACAGAATTCTCCTCCGTCTTGGCTGAAGGGAGAGGCAAGGGGAGAGGAAGATGGTAAGGGCAAGGTCGGTGCCATGCCGACATTCGGCCGTGGCATGGCAACTTGGCGGCATTGCCCACCTTGTTCGCGCATGGGTTGCTCTGAATTTCGGTATGCATTCAGTTTGATTGTGGACGTGTGGTTCGGTCGGGTTGTAGTTTATGTGTGTCCACAGACAGCAGTGATTCGTGTGTATGCGTGGCGGGTGCCGGTGGCCTGCCTTCTCTCTCCACCCTGATCAATTTGTTTTGCCTTTTGGCTGTGTGTGTGGTGTGGGGAAGTAGGGCCTGCCTGCTGCCATTGACCTGCGTGTGTGTGCGGTTGCTGCAGTCAGTGTGCAGACGTCGTGTGGTGACTGTGTGCGCATTCGTGAGTACAAGTGCACCAAGCCGCCAAATGGTTCTGTCCACTCATGCCACACAAGTCTCATGCTACGTCCCGTGATGAGTACGCTCAACACAGAGAGAGACAGAGGGAGAGAGACATCCTGTGATGAGTACGGGGGAATTTGTTACGGGGTCTGCACCGAGCCCATAAATCAAGAGCATTCCCAACGTCAATCCATCCACCCGTCCCTCGCAAAATCCAAGTATACAGACAACCGCACTCATCAATCAAAAGACACACGAGTCGCCAGTACACACCATAACAGCAACGGCCGGATGTACGGATGCCTTGGTGACGGGCCTGTCTGTCTGTCTGTCTGTCAGCTCTCACGCCTTGATCTGTGTGTGCGACATGACAACAGCGCGGCACATGGAGCAGGTCGGCTGGCGGTGTCTCTGTCTGGTCCTCCCCCAGCAGCTCACACACATGCACATGTGGCTGCAGGGATGGAAGACCACACATGGGCGGCGCTCCGTGCACACCACACACTTCTTCTGATCCTCCAGGTCCACCAGCTTCTTCTGACACCGACTGCTGAGTGTGTTCATCTGGTCCAAGGCGTTGGTCACGTCGCTCAGAGACGAGTTGACGTCAGCCTGCAGCTGGAGGACGGCCTGCTCGTCCACTGCCGTGCGCAGCCGATCATCGTATGAGCTGCATACACACACAGGGGTCAGAGGCGCTTTGTCTATGGCTGGCCTTACCTGATGGCCGACACGTTGATGAAGCCGACCTGGGCAGCGCTCTGTGCGCCCTCCAGCCTGAAAGGGCAATGGACTGATTGCACGTGGGTGTCCATACAGGTATGTGTCTCTCCTCACTGTTTTATTTTTGCGACGGATTCCTCCTTCTCGCGCCGCAGGTTGGTTAGTTGGGCCTCAAGCCTGATGGAAACCGCCACAGCAATGTCTCACCTGCGCACTTCACGTATCAAGAGACTGACTCGCGTAGTTTCTCCGTCAGGCCGTGGTTGGTCTTGACGGCACACTCTTTCTCAGCCGTGACAGCCGTGACCATTTGCACCTGGCCCTCTAACCTGATCAGCAGGCACGTGCACTTGTGCCGATGACATATCTGTAACGTGCATTCGGTCTGTCATCCGTCGCTAGATATGTCTCTGACTTGTTCTGTGACTCCCTCAGTGCTGCGACGGTCTTCTGCTCCCTCATCAGCCTGCAAGCATTCATACAGTGGCAGGCACACAAACATCGACCGACACCTCACATATAGGTTGAGGTCCTTGTCACCCACACCCACGTCTGCTTGAGGTCTTCGTTTTGCGCCTTGAGTCGCTCTATAGCAACACTCATCTTCTTGCTTTTCGTTGCGGCGCTGACCCCGACCAATGCCCACACAACAATGGCGGCATGGATGCAGCATGAATACCTCTGTCGCTCCTTGGCAAGGGCTTCGTTAAGGGCCGCCTCTCGCTCAGCCGCCATGGCCTGGCACTGCTGCAGTAAGTCGTCTTCGGAGGTGGCGTCGGCCCTCGCCTTACCGACGCCGACTTCCCCGCCACTGCCATCCGCACGGACCCGGATGATTGCACAGATGCCAAGTTATTTGACTCTTATGCTCACTCCTCTGCTGGCACTGTATCGCTTGTCGTGTCTGCAGCCACACCAACACTGCCCTCACTGCCGAACACGGCAGAGCAAATCAATCATTGTGTCGTCCCTTCGCGTGACATGCCGTCCGCAACCCTTTTCACTTACAGTGGACTCCCCTTACAATCAACGAGGGTACATGTAGCAGCAGCATCGTGTCTCTCCGGTCCGCGCGCCCGTGCGGCGCTCTCACCACCCCCCGCCCTGACAGTTACCGCCCTCCGATGCTGTTTCCTCTTGGTGCGCTTGACGTTGAGAGTCGCGGACTCTGACCGGGAACAGAGGATCACCAGCTATGGATGTCTAGAGGAATAAGGGCTCTGCTTGTCCCTCGGCTGACCTAGAAGTTGCTGGTCGAGGTCAATATCGACTGGACGAGGCTGTGCTACCTGCTTGGTCAGCCATGAGATGAGCGCGCAAGCCCAGGAGCCCAACGATAAAGCTGCTGCCGTCAGCCGAGAGGGGGTATTCAAGATTACTCTTCTGAGCTTATGGAATGCCTGCCGAAGCAGCCGTAATGGGTGTTGCCTGGTCAGAGCCCACAACCACAGGCCAAAGATGACGAGCATGGCGACCACCGCCAGTGGAAAGCAGACGCGGCCCTGTTGGACGGGACCTCGTTGCTCATCCATGTGGGCCGTAGCCGCCGCCCTTAGCCGTGCCGCCAAATTATGGTGACCCTGTGTGCCAGAAACAAGAATGGCATGTATGAGTTTGCCAGCACGAGGGCGAGTATCGACCTGTACCATTGCCTTGGCTATGTCAGCCGGTCTGGTATTCCAGGGGTTAAAGCCAGGTACAGGGAGAGTCGGATTGGCGCCTTTTGCCAGTAGCATGTCGGCGAGGTCGTGGGCACCACTGAGAGATCGATGCAAGACATATGTATGTCTCGTTGTGTCGCATCCATGTGGAAGTATCCATCTCACTTGAGTGCGGCCCAGTGTAGGGCTGTGCCCGATTCGCCACAGTCATTGACGTCTGCCCCCCTCGCTATGGCCATCCTTGCGATTTCGACTCGATTCGGAATGTCATCTAAGTACTGGGAGTTGTGCCAGACCGCTGCCATCACCAACGGGGTGCCCAGATTGGTACGCGCATGAAGATTCGCTCCATTCTCCAGTAGACATTTGACACACGAGACACAAGAGCCCTGACAGGGAGGCAACACATAATTCCTGTCATCTGTCTCCGGTCATCTGCCTGTCTCCGGTCATCTGCCTTGTGTCCTTACGTCGAGGGCAGATTGGTGGAGGGCAGTGGTGTTCGTCACTAGAATCCTCTTGCGAAACGGCGGAGGGAGAGGCTTCTCCTTCCAGGCACTGTCGACCCACTCCGCGATCGGGATCGTGGCGTCGATGTCGATACCTACCCATACACAAGACGACATTGTAGTGAGATCAGCTCGTGGGGTCCTTTGCAAGCCTTACCGTAGTCGATTAGCGTTTGTGTGATGGCAACGCAAACTGCGTAGGGACAGGTGATCAAATTTGTGTGAAGTGCTGTCATGCTCATGTTATTCACGCTGTGCCGGCCATTGATGTCCACGCCTTTGGCACCCTCTCTCGTTGTCTCCAGCAGCAGCTGGACAAGCTCAATGTTGCCAGCAATCACCGCATGGTGAAGCACGGATTTGCCCTTCTCATCGCGGGCATCGAGGTTGGACACGTGTGGAAGAATCACGGGCACTGTCGACATGGGATATTGGCCATGAACAGCAGCAAACAGGGCCTCCTCCAGCTCATCGTCGGTCTGATCGCTGTTGAAGGGCGGCAGATGGGAGCGCAACGACGGCACATCGGCCTACATGCAAAAGCAAACACCAGAAAGGTGGGTGTCTGAACACCATGGGCGGTACATACCGCGTATGCGGCCTTTGCGGCGGGAGTAGATACCCACCAAGGAGCACCATCATGATCATCTGCAAGAGGAACCAGAGGAACTCGCAGCTCTTCCTCTCCGAGGCACGTTCCACAGCTCCAGCAGCCCGCGGACCAGACAAGCAGACCGAGTGGCAGGATGCGCCACATCATGGTAATCGCATGGGCCTGCATCATCCAAATAAGCATCATTTGGGGAGAGTGAGATGGGGGTCGTGTGTGGGCGTCTTTGGACGGGAGATCTCAGATCGAATCGGTCAATTGAACGCGCGGGTCTCTTGCTTCGACAGCAAGTCATTTTGAAAAAGCCCATCCACAGGCACGCACGAACAAAGGCCGCATGCACCAAACAAGACATGTGTCAGTATGTAGCATAAACGTCTCTATGTATGTATCATGTATATGGTGTGTATGTATGATAAAGCTGCTCGATCGCACATGCAAAAAGAAGGACAAGCGCCGCACAGCAATGCCGGCCGATGGAAAGACTCACTCGCGGTCACTCAGACACACACGTGAAGACACAAACGGATATGAGAAACTGCCGTGGGCACCACAGCGAAACAGAGATAGAATGGCATGGCATGGGATGAGATGGCATATATGGCGTGTGTGCACACGGTCCTTGAATTTGAAAGCCACACCAGACAGGCAGCAGACAGCAAACAGACACGCAGGCAAGGGGTGTGGAGCGGGGCACTGTCGGGACAATCACAATGCACCCGCCGCACAAAGAAAAATCTGATCAGCACGAGTAGTACGCCATTAGCAGTAGCACCGCACCTATCCCATCGTCCCATCCCGCAGCACCCACCCAGCCACAAGGGCACCAACAATCACAAACAAAGACCGGCCAACCATGGAGAGGAAGAGAGGAGCACGTACCTACCAACAATCCAGCTCTACAGCTACGAAAAAAAGATGAGAACGCATGCTTTTCTTTCCCTCCCGCCCCTTCCCTCCCCATCTAATGTGTGTCGTGGGCGGCGCTGATGCTGCTGCTGCCGTCGTCCCACCGCACCTTCATCAGCCCTCCCTTGGTGTGCGTCTCCTGCTGTGTGTCGACGTTCACGTCAGCCAGCACCCCGTCGTCGATGCCCTTGAGGGCGCCATCCACCCGCTCGAGAGAGACCATCAAGGACTGGATCGACACGCGCATCCCCGACCGCTGCTGCCGCTCCTTCAGGAGGCAGGCGTCGAGGGCCTTCATGTCGTTGGCCAGGCGGTCCCGCTGCACGTTGAGGAGCTCGGTCTCGTTGAGCAGCACTGCCAGCTCGCCCTCCTGCGTGTGGCACCGACGGGCCAGCTGACGGCGGAGGGTGATGCTCTTGTCGATCTGCATGCATGGAACACACACCCAGACAGGAACGCACCGTTCACATCGCTATCATGTGCCGTCCATTGCGATGGGTTCTCACCAGGTGCGTGAGGTTGTCAGCGGCCGCCTTGAGGTCCGCTTCCGCCCGTCTCATCTCCTCCTTCTTGTGCTCCAGCTGCCCCTCAATCGCCCGCTGGTGGCTCTCCAGCCTTGCAGCCTCCTCACCCACCTTGGCCACCTCCGCATCCGCCCGCCGACACTCGGCCTGTAGCGTCGCCGCCCGATCGGCCAGCCGATTGGCGTCTGACACCATGGCCAGCTGTGCCTCGATGGTCTGCACCTCCTTCTGGCCCCGCTGCAGCTCAGCCGAGATCCGCTTGATCTTCTCGGCCAGCTGACGCACCCGATGCGACGAGTCGTCGCTCGTCAGGGCGTCTCGGCGGGCGAGAAGATGCTCCTCTTTGGTCTGCAGGAGGACGCTGAAGCGCTCGGCGGCCTCGGAGTGGGCTGAGGGGGAGGGGGCCGCCGTGGGGTCAACAGAGATAAAGTCCTGCACGCTCTCGTCGGCAACGGCAACGGGCAGCTGCCGGGCATACCACGCCAGGCGGTAGGCCACCTTGTCCGAGTCCGTGGCCGCGTCACTGTCAGGCGCGGTTTCTTGCTGCCCGTTACTGCCGTTGCTGCTGGAGGCGTGGGATGGCACGTGGGTGGGTGAGGCCAGGCTGTCACGGTCGCCCGTGCCGCCGCTCCGTGAGCGTGATGAGCGGCGGGTGCTGGGGGAGAAGGTGCCGCGCCACTCGTCGAAGTCGTGCCGCACTCGACGAATGGCGCTGAGGACCGACTCGACGGTGGCTCTGTCGCTGTCCTTCTGGGCAAGAATCTCCGACGCCTCCTCTTTGGCTGCACACACACACACACACACACACACAGATACAGATGGATTCTCGCATGTGTGAGGGCCAGTAGTACTGGCATCTTTAATGCGTGTGTTCTCACCGTTAGTGAGTTCATGAAGTCTGGCCTCGAGTTGGTGAGTCTGCTGTTGCTGGTATGCCAGCTGTGCCTGCAGCTGCGTCCGCCGCCTGGGTGCGTCCTGGATGGACTGCTCGGCCTCCATCCACTTCTCCCTGGCGGCCGTGGAGGTCCGCTTGACGATCCGGAGGGTCTCGTTGGTCTGCCGCACTGCCTGGCACGCCTGCGTCAGCTGCTTGAGCAGCGAATCGGCCTCCGCCTTGAGGCTGTCGAGGGAGGTGGCCTTGGCAAGGGCGTCGCTGTGGGCTTGATTGACATGAGCCGCGTCATCTCTGGGAAAGGACATCGACACATCATATGATGTGCGTTTCGACGGTTTCTGTCGGATGTTGTCAAGTCACTCACCTCAGTCTCGCGATCTCTGCGGCGAAGTCGTTAGCGTTGACGGTGAGGCTGCCCTTGGTCAGCACATTGGCCTCCAGCATGGTCCGCAGGCGCGTCAGCACCGCCCGGGTGTGCTGGCTGGCATCCGCCAGCGACTCCCGACCCATCTGGTAGGCCTCCATGCCGTCCCTCAGGAGCTCCCGCACCTTGCCGCTGCCCATCTCCAGGCTGTCCGTCCTCTCCTTCACCCAGCCCTCCCTCTCAGCCAATTTCTCATGCTCGCTTCGCAGCAAGTCCCGGTGGCCCTCCTGCTCCTTCTCGCAGTGGCTGAGCAGCACTCTGCTGATGCCCAGCCGCTCCTCGAGAGTCGATACCGGCAGCAGGAATGAAGGCGGGCGGATGGTGAGGTGGCTGCTCATCTCGTCAGAATAGTCCGATGACGACGCGGCCGACCGTGCAAGCGCGTCGGCACGCAGGGCTGGAAGGCGGGGAGCGCGGGGCACCTGGGGGGAGCGGAAGAGATGTGATGGGTCTTCCAAAGGACGCAATGAGGTAGAAGCAGCCGACTGGTGCCTCATGAGAGGGGGGAGGGGGCTGGACGGCTCGCCAGATGCGGACCATGGGAGGTAGAGAAGCAGCGTGGCCACCAGTGCCGCCACCATCCGCCGTGTCTTGGGAGGCAGGGCGCTCTCCCCCTCCCCCTCTCCCTCTCCGTGCTCCCCCTCTGTCTGCGTGCTCTTGAGCAGCTGCTCCAGCGGCTGAATGAGCCCCTGACTCGACAAGAGAGCCGCCGCCTCGCCATTGAGAGTCGATCGCTGTGTGAGAGAGCCCCTGGCCGGCTTGCAAGGGTGCGTGACCAACACGGTCAGCAGCCAGCACACGAAGAGGGTGATGGCCGGCACTGATGGGGGGTCCTTGAGGAGGGAGGCGATGCGCGCGAGTCCTCTGGGGGAGCAGATCTCGCGGACAGTGTTGTAGTTGAGACCTGGGTGGTTGTGGAGGGTCTCGGGGAGCAGCTCGAGGGACATGGCGGCGCTGTTGGCTGTGTCTTGTTGGAGGAAACGGTTCTGCTTCAGAAGCGTCGCCAACACCACCTGAAGAGACAGAAATTGGACGTATAAGGAACTTTGTGAGCGTGGCTTACCCCGCAGCACAGCCTGGCGTCGATCTGTGGCGACTGGTACAGCGCCTCTGCAAACACACATACACACACCCAACAAATGCACTCAACTGGTCGGTAGGAGCCGAAGACCACAAGGTGCGTGAATGCTCACACACCAAGTATTTCCATGCCGATGCCGTCCTGTTCGGCCAATGCTGCCTGCACCTCAGGCAGACCTAGCGCCAACCACAACACCTGACCTGATGGAAGAATCGATACATGAACGACACAACAACAGCAGCGGCAACAGCCGACAATAGGCAGGCAGGCAGGACACACGTAGTTTGGGTTGTCATGCCCGTCTGTCCGCTCACCGAGGGCGCCGTGGACGACAGCCGTTTTTGGGTCCCGTAAGACGCCGCGAAACTGGGCCAAGCCACCTGTCCTGAAGAAGACCAGAAGGCTGCCGGGACCTGCACACACAAGGCACACACACATACGTGCGTGTCGTGTCCGTCGTGGCGATACTGCAATAGTTGCGGCGTGACGTACTTGATTCGACTAGCGTCTTGAGGAATGTGGTGGAAGCGACCACGAGTGGCTGCGGGGGCTGCTCGCCGTCCTTGCAGGCTGTCTCGATCATGGACGTCACGAGCGCTATGGACCCGCCCTCAATCAGATACCGACGACCACCTGGATGGACATGCACGGACAAGAATGATTGATAGATACCAAATGCAACGTGTCGGCGGATTGCAATCCTCATACTATGGTGCTTGCTTACCCTCCTTCCTCACTAGTGCGGTCAAGATCTGGCAGACCAGCGTCTGCTCCTCAACAGAGCCGGTGCGGCCCTGGGGAAAGAAAGGACAGCACAGGTCAGCCGATTCATGTTGATGGGGTTGCGTCTGCTCACCGCCTGCAGGAGGGCTTCGACTACTGGTGCGTGGCACAGGCGATTGACGTGCACTGGGTTGACGGCGACACTTAGCCAAGGCAGACACACACGCACACACACGTGGGTCCGTGTACCCATGGTTGCATCTAAGAGGCGGCTGTACCGTTTGACATCTAGGAGGCGGTCTACGAGTGGGACTCGCGTCTTGGAGCACTGCCAGACAGACAGACAGACAGACGGACGGACGGTCAGACCACACCCACACAGACGGGCGACAAGCGATCTCTCCCCATTAATGTGGGCCAGCATCTCGCTTGCGTACCACAAATCGCGCCACGGCCATTGTGAAGCTATCGGCACCGATGAACGCCCTGATGCACCCACAGCGAACGACAGCACACGAATGCATTCACTGGATCGATGACGTCTGTCGTCCATGTGTACCAGAACTTGTCGTTGTTCAAAACATCCTCGACGCGCAACAGACGCTGCAAGGGGACAGAGAGAGGTAAGAGGCGCACAAATGGCGTTGATGTGACGTGTGACGAGGATTTGTCCTGCCTGTCTGTCTGTCTGTCTTTACCTGCAGGTATGTCTGTAGGAGTTTCTGACGTTTCTCGACGAAGTCGTGTTTCATCTTCCCAAAGACCTTCTTGGGCGGCAGGTCGGGCAGCTGAGGGATCCCGCTCTGACGCAACTGGCAGCATCCATACACACAGACAGACATCCCCACAGACATTCACACGGACGACAGTACACACCGCTCTCTCCTTCTCAATGTGTGTCATCTCCTTTGTCATTTTCACCTTGTCATGAAGCTTGACAAAGTTGCGAAAGCGCTTGTGTAGGTTGAATCCCTTGCCGAACGCATCGACCTCAATGGTGTACTCCTGCAGTCACACACACGCGCACAAAACGAGCAGTGACCATCACGGCGCCTGTTTTTTCTTATCTTTTCTTCGTTCACCGTGTGTTTGGTGCCCAGGAGGCCCTTGACGTCCTCGTGTGTGAGAATGCGGGCTGAGAGCGGGAGGTTGGGCCTTGGAGGCCTTCTCGGGATGGGAGGCGGCGGCGGAAAGGGAGATGTCATGGCGCTCGGCATCACACGCTGCTTTTTCCTCCCTTATGCGGCGATTCTCTCCGGAAAGCGATTTTACGGAGATTCGCGTCTGCGAGCTTGGCTTGCGGAGAGGGGAGAAAAGAGGAAAAAACGATAAGGCAGGTTGCCTGCGGGACCAGACTGAGTGCTGAGTGATCTGTGTGCTCAGCTTGCATGGCCATCAGCAAGTTGACTGGCTGAGGAGAGGCGGAGCAGGGCAGTGATGTGACCGAAGAAGAGCCTTTGATGGCGGATGCAGCTGCTGCGTCACCGCATCCGAGGTCAGCACAGCAGCACTCACTTTAAGAATTCAAGATCCACAGGATGCATGTGATGTCATGTGCTGTCTGTTCACACAGTCGCCCCCATTCCCATTTCGTCAGTCTGCCTGATGCCGTCCTCTTCTCGTGCATCGGCCGGCTTCTCGGCACGCACTCCGTCGTCGGCAGCCTCGGTCGTACGCACTCTCCGCTGCATGCAGCCTCCCGCCACCCAGACATGCACATCGTCCTGTGCATCAACAGCACCAAGCCAATCCACCTCAGCTCACGGCAGGTGGGCGCCTGGGCTCACACCGTCTCACAGACCCACCACGCAGTGCTGAATTGCCCGGTGACCGACGGCCTGGTTCTGCTCATCGAGGCGACGCGCAAGAGCCTGGTGGTTCTGGAGGCTGACAGCGTGTGCCATGTGTCGTGGCCGAGTGGCGATGTCAAGGGCCTCCTCGTCTTCCCGAGGCTGCGGCGGGTGGCTTTGGGAGGTGCCTGGCTGCCAGTGGGGGAACACCGCCAATGGGCATCAAGGTAAGTAAGGGAGAGTAGGAGGAAGGCCGCCACAGGCACGCAGGCACATCGGAGCCTTTGTGACCGTTTCTGCGTGTTGTAGGCCACGTGAGGTGTGCCTCCGCGACAGGAAGCGTCACCAAATTTGCGGCGACAGCTTTGCGGAAGACACCCGATTGGTGTGGGTGACGGGCAGCCGGTCACTCGAGGCCATCACACTCATCGACAAGTTCGGCTCGCCAAAGGGCTGGGGCGGGGCCGCCGTGCGGCAGCTGCTGCGGACGCCCTTCCCCCAGACGGCCCTCAGGGCACTCAAGGGCGTCAGCCTCGACGAGCCCAGCTCACAGCTGGCGAGTGTGTTAGCTGCCAACGGCGTCAAGCTGAGTGAGCTGTCGATGGCCATCACCGTGGCTGAGTTGGACACCGACATGGTCAAGGTGAGAACAACGAGGGAGGGAGGGAGGGAGGGAGGGAGAGCAGGGCGTGTGATGGCTGATGTGGCCCATGTGTGTGTGTTTCGTGTGTTTGTCAGGCCGTGCACACCATCAGGGCGAGGTGTCTCGCGGTTGGGGCGAGGGAGGACTGGAGCAAGAGCAGCTTCGTCTTCCCAATCTCGCTCATGTGGGCGTTTTCCTCAGTCGAGTTGCGGCTGTACGAGCCCACCCTCATTTTCCTGGCGGCCATCGCCAAGAAGGCCGTCTTCCCGACCGGCCTGGCCATCGCCGAGCATCCCACCGGCTTCCTGCCCCTCTACATCTACCGCCACATGATCAAGCTCTCCTTCTTCAAGGTGACGTGCCTTGCGATGGAGGATGGCGACGATGAGTTCCTCGCCGAGCACATCGCCTTGCCTGACGAGCTGCTGTCCGAACTGCCCCGACTTTTTCGCCACGTCACATGTCTGGATGTGGGTCGTGGGCTGCACACAAACATGGGCACTGGGGCAGTGAGGAAGGCAATCGAGTCGCTGCCCAAGCTGACAGAGATCAGGCACACAGACCCAGATCCTGACGTGTGTCTGCTTCCTTCGTGTCTGCTGGACTGTGGCTCCCACGGCACGCCCCTGCACATCAAGGGCCGTTTTGGCCGCGACCCTTATCATCCTTTTTACGCACCCTGGATGCTGTGGGGGCTGTGGGACAGTGCTCCAGATCCACCAGCCATTGCACCAGACCAGGGCGGCATACGCTCACGGATTCAGCGGATCAGCGTAGAGATGAGGATGGCTTACGATGAGGCTGATGTGTGCGACATGTCAGACAGTGAGATCGGCGAGGAGATCAGCTACGCGCACGCTACCTTCAGCTGCCCACTGTCTATTAGCCAGGCCATTGAGCAGCTGCCGAGCCTAGAGAGGATCGTCGTTGAGTGCCCTGACTTCTCTGAGAGCGGCGTGACTGCCCGTGTGTGGATGGATGTCATGTTTGACAAGGGCCTCAACGAAGGCAAGAGAACGCTCCGCCACGTGCTGCACAGCCACGGCTGGCAAGTGTGGTATGCTGAGACGAAAGTAGAGTTTTGTCGCCGCTTGAGGGGCCAGAGGCCCATCACGGATTTCTTCCCGCGCCTGTAGATGAGGGTGGATGGATGGCTGTGTACTGTCTACGCGACTGCTCTAAGTGCTAGCTTGATGTCTGTATTAGACAGTGAGGTCTCTGCCGGTCGTCACCCCTGCATCATGTCGCTGTGTGTCTAGGCTTCCACGGTGTCATCCCCCTTGTCTCTCCCCTGTGGTGGGAGAAGCAGGGGCGATGGCGACACGGATGGCTGGACATCACCACGACACGGAAGCGGACCGACCGACAGACAAGTGGATAGACACCATGACGTATGGCTTGCTTGCCTTTATTGACGGTGATTGGATGTGTGCGTGACCATGCCGCCAGCAAACAAGATATGAATTAAGTGGATTTCCACACACACTCGTGCAAACATGATCAAAAGAGTCATCATCACACACACGTCCCTCCACGTATGATGCAGACAGACAGGCAGGGGCAGGGAGACAGCTAGCTGCGCCGGCTAAATTACACGCGCAGGCAACGAGCCGCCACTCCCCCATCCATCCATCCATCAGCCATCTGTACGTAAGAAGCATCGTTCGTCCGTCACACCTTGATTGACTTGACCCCACAAACAACACAACACACCACACCACACGACACGCACAGACGCAGGGGAGGTAGCAAAAGAGGAGGGAAAAGGGCGGCAGAAGAGAAGAGAAGAGAGCCAAGAAAGAAAGGAGGAAAGAGAAACCACACCACCATCCCTCACTCCCTCCGGCTTCCCCTGCCCGCCTGGGCGGCCCCTGCCTGCCTCCTTCTACCTAGTCAGTCAATGAATGCAGCCAGCCAGCCAAAAGGGGGTGGGCCGGCCATACGTATTCACACCCAGTCAGCTACCTTCGACAACCACAACCAACTACTGCACCATGCCATGCGGGGCCCCACCAGCTCACCTTCTGCCCCACCCATCCCATTCCCCCATGTACGAGTCACTCACTCATCCACTGCTTCACTTCACGCAGCGCCCTGGCCGCAACATCTGCCGGCAATGCCCTGGATGCCGGGCCCGCCCTCGCCCGACGGGCGCAACAGCTTCAGGCCCTGTGCTCGGCCTGACGCCTGCCGACTCGCCGCAGCACCGGCCGACTCTCTGGACACACCATGACATGACAACCGACGGAGGGCGTGCTGGTGTGGCTGGCTGGCTTCCAAGGTTGCGGCCATGTGTCCGTGTCCGTACCTGAGATGGATGAGCTCGCGGCCCATCATGACGAAGGCCTGACGACACAAAGGAAGGAAGCACAGGGAGGGCAATGCATTGGTGTGTGGTCCGGCTCGCTGCACGAGCTGACTTGGCTTTGCATGGAAGTACCTGTTCTACGTTTGTGGCGTCCTTTGCCGACGCCTCGATAAACCCGATGCCCAGCTCCTCGGCCTTCTTCTGCACAGCGCATGGACACAGCAATGATGGCTTGGCGGGTCGTTCGTTTCGTTCTTGCGATCGTTGGCATGTCGCATGAGTGGTGGTGGCTGACCTTGGCCTCTTCTGACGGGACGGCTTTCTCTGAGCTGAGGTCGGACTTGTTGCCCACCAGGATCTTGCAGGTGCTCTCGTTGGCATACCTGAAGGAAGGAAGGGACCGACCACACACAAACCACAACACACAAATCCAATCATGGGTCAAGCAAAGGGAAACATGGGGTGCGGTGTGGATGTGGGTGTGTCTGTGTACCGATTGACTTCGCTCAGCCAGTCGTCAATGTGGGCGAAGCTATCCTGAGGAGAAGGGAGAGCAGGGCAGGGCCACCACACAGAGCAGCGTACATGTGCATGAAGGGCACCAGATCTGCGTGCAAATCTCTGCCGCCTGTCTGGCTGCTCGCGTCCTAGTTCATCCACCCACCGCACTGACCCTGTCCGTGGTGTCGTAGACCATGACGATGCCGTCGGCCCCCCGGTAGTAGGCACTCGTGATGGTCCGAAACCGCTCCTGACCCGCCGTGTCCCACTGATCACACAAGGCACGATGCACCAAGGCACAGTCACACACAAAGCAGGCAGGAAATGCGAAGCGAATGGTGTTCCGAATTGGTATGCGTGTCTGGTGGCAGCTGGCTTACGATTTGCAGTTTGATGACCTTCTGGTCGACCGTGATGGTGCGGAACCTGAAGTCCACACCGATGGTCGTGATGTAGCTGTCCGTGAAGGCGTCATCCTGAGCAACAACACACACATACACATCTTAGGCTCATGTGGTCAGCTTGTGCGCATGGCTGCCCCTGGTTTGTTTCGTGCTGCCTCCCTGCAGCTCGCTCACCGCAAACCGCAGCAGCAGGCAGGACTTGCCCACGCCTGAATCCCCTATCAAAACGAGCTTAAACAGGTAGTCGCTGGACACACAACAGTAACACACGGTGATGCCACAGGGATGCCCTTAAGCTCGTGCCTGCCCCACCAGCCAGCACTTACTAATCTCGTGCGCGCGAAGCCATCGTGTCAGATCAAATCACCCTCACGCAAGCCATACGCAGGCCTACCGACTTGTCTTGCTTGCGAGAGATGGCAACGAACGCGAACTCAACGCGAATTCGCAGGTGCGAGCTTGAAGAGGGTTGCGAGCTTTGTTTGGAAAGAGAAGCAAAGCATGGGTGGGTGTTTGTCGAAGAAGAAGGACAAGGACGTGGCGGCCAGCCAGCCCCATACCGCCTGGGACGACGACAATCCCAAACTGTCCGGCCCCAACACGCGCTCCCCCTCGAGGGCGGAAGGCGACAGTCCCGGGCCTCTTAAGGCCAAGGCGCTGTCAAGCGCGTCGCTCCGCAGTGACAAGGGCGAGCATCCCCACACGGCCCAACAGACACACACGCCTGTGCAGCGGCAGAAGTCGGTGCGGGCCATCAAGTGGGACGCCTTCTCGTTTGAGAAGATAGCCAGCAACCTGGCGGAGAAGGGATTCGAGCCGCTCGTCAACAAAGAGCACAAGGTAGGCGCCAGATTGCCGTTGGGTGAGAAACAGGCAGGCATTCCCCTCCTGTCTGTCTGTCTGTCTGTCTGTCTGAGTCATGTAGGTGTTTCGTGTGAAGCAGTACCGTCGGCTGTGGTGGAACGACATGTACGAGATATGGCTCATGAACTTCTTCGACATGCAGTGGAGCGCCATCCGCATCATCCCACCGCCGACCGTCGAGGCCGAGCACAGGAGGCAGCCCACATGGCGCCTCAAGAGGGCGAGGAGCAGTCAAGACATCAGGGCGGGCGGGAGAAGCACCGAGAGGAGCCAGCTGCTGGCGGGGCAGTACCATGTCTTCAACAGGAAGTTCTGCTTCAACAACGCGGCGCTGAGGAATGAAGTCGTCACCAAGGCCACGCAGAGTGAGTGAGACACATCTAATGAATGACGGAAGGACAATAGACAGACACACGCACAGACAGAGACGGAGGGAGGGAGAGAAGAGTGTGTGTCTGGCTGGCTGTGTGTGCTTTGTTCAGAGCTGACAATGGTCATCTGCAACACGAGGACATCTGTAAGTGACATGATAAATGAATGACAGAGAGGACAGCTGCAGCGACTATGTGTGTCCCCTGTGTCGTGTTCTGTGTGTAGGAGTGTTGGGCGTGTGCAGAGATGCCGCTGGATCTGACCCTGGAGCTTGAGACACTGGATCTCATGAAACCTGAAAACGCTGAAGTCAGAACGTGAGACACACACACACACACACAGACAGAGAGAGAGAGAGAGAGGACAACACAATCCTAATCCATTCATCTCTTCCTCTATGTTTCGCTCACAGCCGCGTGCCATGGCTGGAAATGCAGCTTGTCGACCCGATGAAACAGATGGTACGCAGCCAGCCAGGCAGCCAGGCAGAAGCACCAGCAGAGACGTGGCTGTGCATCGTTGTCATGATGTGTGCAGGAGAATGAGATGAAGGCCGGTCACGGCGTCATGACGACTAGTGGTGGTGGCGGCCACAGCCCCATCGGGTCGCCAAGGGGCAGCACCAAGAAGCGATCCATCCCACACAAGGCAACCAACACAACACACAATCACAGGAAACACAGCAAGGGACGCCGCTTATGTGTTCCTCTGTGTCTCTCTCTGGGTCTGTCTCTCTCAGAGCAAGTCGGCAAAGATGACCTCCGTGGTGCCTGAGTGAATCAATGAACGAAGCTCAGACGTGGGAGGCTGGGCGGGAGAGGAAGCGGGAGCTGCCCTCACCACCACGGATGACTGGCAACCTCCTTCTACTTTGCTCCTGGTTTTTCGGTCGCGTCTGCGAGTCATGGGGGCCTGCGTGTGTGGGTGTGCGGGGTGGGTGGGTTGGCTGCCTGTCAGTGTGTGCGCACGTGTCTTGCGCGAGTCGATTTGCTGCACGTCTGTCTTTCGTGTGTCGGCTGTACAAAAGCACTCATTGTTCGTCGTGTCAGTCAACGATGGGACTCGATGACAGACAGACACATCGAATACTGACTGTACGTCACACGCACACAAAAACGACTGCAACTAAAGACTAAAGGGAGGGAGGGAGAGAGGGAGGGAGAAAGGAGAAAGGCACAACACAGCACAGCAAACGTGCGCCGGCCCATATGGATGGATGGATGGATCAATACTGCTCCTTGATGACATGTACTCTGGCTGCCCCACTGATGCATGCTGGCCGACACGCATCACATGCACACGAAAGTACGAAGGAAGGGGTGCAGGAGCACACGATTACACAACACACCCACACAGCATGCCCGCCCGTATGCAAGCATGACAGCATGCCCGCCCGTATGCAAGCATGCAATCATATCGGTGAATGCCACTGATTTCTCTCTCTGTGTGTTTGCGAGCCATCCAGGACGAATCTTCGCTGACGTAACAACACGTCAGCAAATACGCGTTCATGGTGTCTCTCCTACACACAGGAGAAACAATCATCCCACCGACGACCAATCGAAGCAATTAAGTGCTGCCTGTCTGGTTGCCGTGTCTGTCTGTCTGTCTGTTCTACTCTACCTCTCGGTGTGGTCGTTCGCTGCACGTACGTACGTTCCGAGCTGCCTGCTGGTGGACTGGACTCCACCCCGATGGAAGCTCTCCTCCCAACGGCACACTGTGACTCCACTTGCAGTGTGTATGCAAGCAAGGTCGCACTACGCCGTCCAGAAGTCAGCATCCATCAGGGTGGGAGCAAAACCACCGAAAACGCAGAATGTCCCTCTCGACGGCAAATCAACCACACGCCACGCAAGGATGTCCACAAGACACGATGAGCGCATGTATGTAGCAAAATCATCCTTCAGTCAGTCAGTCAGTCACTCAATTCTGCTCCTGTGCGGTGCGGTCTTCGCCCACCTCCCCACCACCGCCACCGCCCCCGCCCCCTTCATGCCCCTCATGCTCCTCGGCCACTCGCGGCGTCCCGCTAACAGACGTCTCCCTTGTTCTCGGCTGGTGCTCCTTGCCCACGCCGCCCGCTTCAATGCCAACACCACCAGTGGCACCGCCCTTGGTCGCCGCACTGGTAGAGTCCTGCGACAGCGCCGCTGCGCGCGATGACGACACGTTGGGCGCAGACGAGGAAGGGGGCGACACCGACGAGTCGGGGGACAGGGCCCTGCTGGGCGAGAGTGCTGGAGGGGTGGGAGGTGGCGTGGATGTGGGTCGGGGAGGGGGCGGTGCCTTCCTTCTCAGGGCGCGTTCGTATCGGTGTCGGTCTGAGATGCGGTCCTTGGCCTCTTGGGCGGCTCGCACGCGGCCCTCCGTGAGCAGTAGCAGGTCTTCGCGCAGGGTGGAGTCGGACTGCAGGAGGGCCTCGTCGGCCACCGGCAGCAGGGGGTAGTTGGGCGTCGTGCGGATGTCCCAATAACGCACATTGTCGAAATCGAGGTAGCCCAGCCACGTACTGAGACCAAACACAGGCACAGGCAGACACGTGTGTTGGTGTTGCTGCGGGCGGGGGGCCAGGGGGCAGGTTTGGGTGTGTGTGTGGGTTTGTGCCCACCCGTTGACTCTGCTGAGTATGTCGCCGTAGCTGTCTTTGATGGTGCCCTCGAAGTAGTCGGTGGGCTTCCCCCGGACACTGCCAAACACATACTCACACGAGTTGCCTACACACATACACACACACACACGCAGACAGACAGACAGACAGACGAGATCGATGCACATGAAGCATGCAGGTCGATTTACCTACCCAGTGAGTCCTCCACACGCATCCTTCCGAGGATCTCGTGGCGACACACAGGGCCGTACAGAGTGCCTGAGTGCCACACCACATGCGTTGAAAAGCGAGCCGTTGCACACACCCACCAATACATGGATGGATGGCTACCCCTTGTGTGTATTTCACCTACCTGTCCAGACGTCCCTGGGCAGTTTGGTCATGGTGACGGTGTGCCCGTCGGTGAAGTCGACGAACCGCTTCCCCGAGTTGTACAGGTGCATCTGGTTCAGAATGGCGTAGGCGCTGAAGATCGAGTACCCCCAAAACAGAAAACGGTCCTCCGCACCCACAATCTGACAAAGGCACATGGACAGATGGATGGATGGATGGAAGCGTCAAATGTGCCTGTGGCTACTCACCTGCCAGTGGGTCGTTTGGGGCACGTGCGCTGTCTGCTCTGAGTAGATGCGGGTGCCGTCTGCAGGCGGCAGAGAGACACAGTGACAAGCACAGCCACGTGCATGACGCCGCCAACATACACAGCGGCACAACACACACATACCTGGGAGGAAGGCCTGGTAGGTCTCCCCGAGAGTGGGGTTGATCTGACCATTACCAACACAGACCACAGACCACACACAGACATGAGAGCGGTGTCTACGCGTGTGCGCCACGCCATCGATGATCACGCCGACTCACACACCGGTTTGAGGAAGTCTGAAGTGACGTGCAGTGAGGCAATGTACATGGCGACCACCAGCTTGAGCCGCTCAATGGGGTTGCGACTCGCGGCAGCTCGACGCAGATACAATGGCACGTACGCTGCACGGTGAGGGACAGCCAGACACACACACACACACATACATACACACACGAGTTAACCTAACGCCCACACAGCCCACCCACCGAGCACACAGCGTGGAGCTGTGTCGGTCGCTTACTGCATGCGAGGGTGGTGGTTTGGAGTGAGGATCCGGGCTTGCTGCAGCGAATGGGGAACGATATCCGAGTCAGGTTGAAGTTGCCTGCAGAGGGAGGGAAGCAATGGGGGGACAGACAAAAGGCAGCAAGATGTCATCCGTGAGCCGCTTGATGAAAGGTCGAATGGAAAGCAATGCATACCCGAGAGAATCTGCCGCCCAATCCACTTGAGCACTTCCTGCATCGACACACACACACACACGAGCACACTTCCCATCTCCTCTCAACTCATCTGCACCGAGCTGACCTTGGCCACAGACCGCACCAGCACAAAGGTGTCTCGATCGGCCAGCAGCAGACCCCCCTTGGCGTCGGTGGTGACGTCACAGCAGGCGGGGCATTTGCGCGACCTGAGCCGCACGGTGCGGCCCGATGCGGGCCCCACCGATGTGGCTGTTGCGATGCGGAAGTCGTCACGGGAGAAGGGATGCACCCACTCGTCCACCTCCTGATCACAGTGACAGAGAGTGACAGCCTGAGTGTGCGTGTGTGTCTGTGTGTGTTGGTAGGTTGGTAGGTTGCCTTGAGTATTCCTTCGGGGTGCGCCTCGTCCCTCGAGAAGCACAGACTCTCACGCGCACGACGCACCACCTGGTTGTCAACACACAGCACAGTACTGCTTGACAGGTGTCATCACATCAATCCCCTCATATATTTCAGTGCGTAGGCCGACCGATTTGGCGTCGCATTCGAATTCCGAGTCGTTGATCATGGCGTCCATCAGGCCCTCGCTCATGGGATCTGCCGCATAGACACACACCACACACGGCAGACGTCAATATGTGCACTGGTGCATGTGTTGTGTCGGTGTCGGTGAGCGGCTCACCTCCCCTCTCGAGGTAAGTGGCGGTGATTGATGTGTCGGAATCGTCCTGTGTGGGCAAGGCACGACAAACAAGAATCGCACACAGGCACACATCAGACAGACGCTGGATGAGCCTCTGCGTGTGTGGCGGGGGATGGGCGGTGGGCGATTTACCCCGTCCGAGTCGATGTCGAAGAAATCGGGGTTTGCGGACAGCTGTGTGTCTAGTATGCGGTTGATGGACGCCTGCACCTCCGGCAGTCCCTTGGTCTGGTCAAGCAGCGCCCTCAAACTCACCGTCAACCTAAAGACATGTAGACAGACACCAGACACACCAGGTGTGTGGGATCGCTGCCACCCGTTCCGTTCCCCGCGCCGCGCCCTTTCCCTCATTATATCTGCGTACGTACGCCTTTTGTAGCCTCGTTTGCGCACTCACCGCGCCAACGCCCCCGCCATCCGCTATATGAGGTCACACACAGGCAAGGCAACCACTGAGCATCTTTTGACCCTCAACACACCCCGCCCACCGACCCACCTGGTGCATTTGACACGTTCCTCCGGTGCCTCCTCTCGCTCCGCCGCTCCCTCGCTTCACCACCCACACGCAGTCCTCCACCCCCTGCCGCCGTTGTTGTCGGCTCGGGTGAGGGTGACTCGTCCATTGACGCCTCGACAGGCTGATGACCCGCATCAGTCACCACCGAGATCACTCCACCTGGAGAGAGGGAGCGTCCGCACATCCATCCATCCATCCATCCATTCGTGTGGATGGATGTGTTTGGCTTGCGTGCTGCGGGCGGCTGGCTCACCTCTATCGGCGATTTGTGTTGGGAGTGTTGCCGATGGGGGATGGGAGGTGTGTTGGTGCGGTGGGGGAGGAGGGGGTGGGTAGAGGACGGCCATGATGGTCCGGGGGGTCTCTATCAGCCCACGGGAGGTCTCGGTCACCAAGTCAAGCACACCTGACCAACACACACAGACACACATGGCAGATGGGATGTGTGTGTGCGTGCATCTGTTTGCGGCTGACATACCTACCAGCAATAGGTTTGCAGACGAGGTATGCGATGCCTTTTACGATGGCCAGCGGCAGCCTCTCCAGCCCGCCGCCCTTCTGCAGCTCCTGCAGCGGACACGTCAATGGGCCCAACACACCACCTGGCACAGCACACACCACACACAAGTGTGCAAGTCGATCAGCCAGCCAGGGAGGGTGGATGTTTGTGTGGATGAACGAACGTACCGAGCACTTCAGCAGTGAACAGTATGAGTCCCCGGACCAGCCCCTGTGTGACGTCAGACGGGCGGCTGGAGCGGTCGCGATACGACTCATACGGCGGGTCATCAGGCCTCCTAAACACACACACACACACGCACACACGCACACACAGACAAAACACAACACAAGGGAACAATTCTCATACATCACTTTTCCTGCCTGCCTGTGTGGCGGGCGTCTCTGCCTGTACTTGCCTGAAGACGACGACTGGGCCGTCTCTGAGCATGTCGCTGAGGTTCTCCAAGCCCCAAAGAACCCTCTCCACAAGGGAGGCCACCAAACCCACCACCCACACCAACACTGACCCATCCACATCTGACAGACACAATCACACAACCACACAACCACCCACAGTCCAGCCACCACACCACACGGTGCTCAAGGCCACACACCACAACTAGCGGCTGGTGGGTGGATCTTTCTCACCCTGTCTGATGGAAGGAGAACGATTGCTCCTGGGCGGTGCGATGATGGCCGGCCGTGTCCGTGTGCGGCTTGAGGAGGTTGTGGGCGGGGCAGCGGCAGCGGAGGGCATGGCGTGTGTGAACGCCTGGTAAAGGTCGTGGTACTCCCTCTTGGTGCCCGCCGTCACCTGGTAGACCTCACCACGCTCCCCGTGGACGCGGAACGAGAACGCATCCTGACACGCTGACACACACACAGACACACACACACATGACATGCATATGCAGCCTGCACTGAGGAAGGGAGACCGACGGACGCGTGGGCGCGTGGGTGTGCTTACATGTCCACTCCGCGGGTGCCAGAGGCGCGACCTTCTGGATCCTGATCTCACGAAGGACCCGGGAAGACGGCCGCTGCATTGAGATAGACAGACAGGCAGACAGACAGGCGAGCAGATCTGTCAACAAACCGGCATGCACCTCCAGTGCACTCACCGCAGCCCACCTGGTGAGTGGTCATCTTCCCACGTTGCACATCGAGAGTGAAGAAGAGCTGTTTCAGGACGGGCCCCTCGTCCGTCGGCCCCTCCACCACTCGCCAGATCCGCCCCTCCCTGCTGCCGCCGCTGACACTGCTACTGTGGCCATTGCTGTTGGTGTTGCCTCGGATCTGTGCCGGCACTCCGACGCCGTTGTCCTCTCGCGGCGACACCGAGGGGTCTTCGAACTGCTGGTACTCCCGCATGCCGCCTGCCACGCCGCCCTTGGTCATCATCATTGCCGGCCCCTCCTCGCAAGAGATGCATTCACCCATATACAATGATGATACCCTGGCGACGTCAAGGCTGGTGCCTGGTGTGGCCCTGGCAACGGCGGAAGGAGAGATCTGCCGCCTCCTTTTCAAGCTCGCAATGAGGACTCAAGAGGAGTCGCGATTGGACTGTGTGCAATAGCCTGTCGGCATTCGTGTTCGACGCAGGTGAAGCAGCTGACTCGACAGGTCTGGCGTATCATCCAGGGCGTCAGCCACCATCAGCCCGGTGACTTCCATCTCTCTCATGGGGTCGTGTTTCCTCCCAAGACCTGCAGAAAGGAAAGGCCTGGCTGGCGGCAAGAAGGCCCCGTGCGAGAACAAGAGCACCGAAGATATAGGGAGGCGGTGACTTAGCGGCAGACTACCTGCGAGGGAACGGCAATGGGTCAGCTGTGACCAAGAAGGGCTGCTGTACACCAAGAAGGAGAGGTCAGGCACCGCACCCACGGCACACGGCCACGAAGACTGTCGTGTGTTGGTCTGTGTGTCACGCCGCATGTGTGTATGTGCGCAGACAGACTGGAGGCTCAGGACGTGAAGGACTAATCAGACGACTGACTCGAGTACGTCACTGCCGAGTGATTGAGCGATCCACGCATGGCACCATCGTGTGTGCTGCTGGTGCAGTCTCAGCCACGATTATGTGTTGGCGTCGCTGGCCACTCCTGCTGAAGTGCATGAGTTGGAGTGAAACCGGTGGCTCGTCGAGCTAGCTCATGGAGACGGCCGTCGAGCTCAGCATGCAATGCCGCTGCAGAGCGGCGCATCCAAACCCACTAAGGCACCCGCAGCCGAGCAGCCGAGCAGCCGAGCGCCGCAGAAGCTGCTGCGTGTGCCTCCACGCCGACATCCGCTGCTGAAGGGTGGGATGAGAAGGGAGGAACACGCGACGCACCATCTTCATTGCATCTCTGTATGTATCGCTTCCTCGTGTGCACCAATCAGGTGTGGCGTGCCAGTGTGTGGTGGGATGCCAGTGAGTGCTGTTGGACGAGTCGTCGACGGAGGAGCAGCTGCTCCTCTGAGGCAATACAAGACTTCGTCAGCGAGAGCGGTCCGTATGGTGACCATTAGGCATCCCGCTGGATGTACGTGTCTGTCTCTGTCGCTGTGTGTGTGTGCCAGGTTGGAGTGAGTGTGACATCTCTCGTGTGTGTCAGATGACGGACGGACGAGTCCGTGGAGTCCGAGGCCTCACAAGAGCACCACGCCCTGCAGCACGAGTCATACATATCCATCTCTCCGTTTGCCTGTCTGCCCATCGCTGACTGCTACTCCTCTGGAGTCGCTCAGCAGCATCGCAGCGGTGGATGCCAAACGGGCGCCGGCCGGCCATCCACGCCGCTCTCCGTCACGCCGCACTCGAGAAGGAGGAGACGGCTGGTGCTGCTGCTGCCTATGGTGATGGCGGGGAGGGCACGTGCGCCACGTGCCTCACTTTCTGCAGTCGTATTCTTGCCATTTCTGCAGCAGGTCAGTCACGACGCACACGACGGTGACGATGGATCACGCACGCTGCACACCCATTCTTACCTTGCTGTTGTGTGTTGTATGTGTGCAGGAGTGTCTGTGTGAGGGTTGCTGCCGTGACATGACGGCAAAACACGAGGCGGCTGTAGCTCTCATGCGCCTCTGGCGCGCACTCGAATCAGTGGCTGTGTACGTGTGTCTGTGCGTCTGTATTTGTGACAGACTTCTTCATTCGGCTGCGTGCCTCATTGCTATGTTGTGCATGAGACGATGGACCCGACCGTGTCCGTCCATTTGTGCCCTTCTGTCATAGTATATGTGAATATCACTCGGCCACCGTCGCGCACACATGGTTCATGTAAGGTTCACATCGTAAGTGACGCGCACACACACACGCAATCACGTACACTTCGATGGGTCCGTCTGCTCGAGAGCAGCACGGGCGAGCAGCTGGCACATGCAAGTGGTCAAAGCATGCACTCAATGAGTGCACGGCTGTGTTATTCCATGTAGCTACGCCGGCCAGAGGGCGGGCACACATCCCTTCTGCCCTCTTAATTCATCTACAGCAGACGCCTGCATGCACCTCCCATCTAATTCAGACATGCATCTCACTCAAATAGCCACTCGTCCTCGTCGGGCGAATTCGGCACGTGGTGCGTCGCACGGTAGGAGGTCTTCCGCCGCTTGGGACTACTGGGCAGCTGCAGGCATATAGCAAATAATCACAGAGTGAGACGTTTTTGTATGCATGTCAGTCACGTGTACCTGAGTGGCTTTCCCCGCAGGCCGCTTGATGCCGGCGGCGTACCATGTGGCGTACCGGCGGCGGGTGATGTCGTCACAAACTAACCCCGCTGGTTGACTGAGCCGACAGGGAGACGGGAGGCAGCCACACATGCACTTCTGTGGCATGTCTGTCCCTCTTCTCTCTGTCTCTATGTGCATGTGTGTACGCAAGCTCGAGCAGCTTCCGGCAATTCTGGACACACACGCATGGACGAATGAATGAAGGAGTGAGTCAATCACCTCAGTGAGTGTGTGCCTATTCGTCTCTACCTTGACGCCAGCGCCCTCATGACCAACATGGCCATGCCCGCCCTTGGAGGAGGGCGAGCCACGGGGGGCCTTCTTGGCGTGGTGGTCAGGGGCTGCTGCCGCGGCAGCCCCTGACGAGTGTCGCATTCGACGCTCAGCTAACTTGAGCTCCAACTGATGGACAGAGACATACACAGAGAGAGGTGAGAGACATGGGCAAATGTGTGTGTGTTTGAATGGGCTGTGTGTACCTTCGTCGGTTTGGTCTGGCACTTCTCCAACGCCTTGCGAAGGCGCTCCTCCAACTGCACCAGAGAGCGTGGCAGACAAAAACACCCACACGTGTTTCTCTCGCACAAGCGCACCTTCGCTACTTTCTGGGCAGCCTCTTGTTCGGCCCCCTGTGGCCGCTCGAGAGCCTGATTGACGTGACACAAGAGGAGCAGCTTTTGCTTTGGCGTCACACACACACCTCGCGCAGCTCGTCTTCTAACAACTGAATCTGCACACGTGGAATGGTCAGATGATGACACACATGCTCACACCTGGTGGGTGTGGTGTCGGAGTGTGTGCGCGCGTCTCACCTTCTGCGTCAGCTCCTGGCATTTCTCGAAGTGTTTTGTGGCCCAATACTGAGGGCCATAGTCTGACAGAATCTCCTGTCATACACACGCACGCACCAAAACGACGACAACACTCACACACACAAACACACACGTGGCGTGCGGAGCGACCTACCTCGCCCTTGTTAATTTTCCTGACGGCGACGAGTACGACGGAGGGCACCGACCAGAGGAGGCACTCCTCTGCCCTGGCGTTCGGCGTCTTCTCCTGCTCAGGGGGAAAGTTCCGGTAGTCGTTTACCATCCCTGAGCAACAGAGCCATTCATGGAACATGACAGCATCGCGAGTGGGTGCATGTCGAACCAACCCATCTCTGAGCGCAGGTTGAAGCCGTCGAGACAGAACAGGCCCCCGCCGCCCTTTCCAGCCTCACGGTACAGCGACAGGTCGTACAGGTATCTGTCACTGTCTTTGCTCTCCTCCTTCCTCATTGCCGCTTCTTCGGCGCGAAGCACCACCCCGCCATACACACCTGTGTGACATGCAAACAGCGTCCAGCCGCCACCGCACACAGTGTTTTCGGGTATCCACTCACCAAGAGTCGTGAAGGCCGGGATGTCAGGTGCCGCAAAACAGCCGTACGCAGTCCCGCCCTGCGAAATGCGCACCACCAAAGACAACATGGCATTGCGCATCCGCCCAGCAGCCCCTCATTACAACGTACCGTTTTGTCGAACGCGGGATGGTCTTCCTCCTCAATGCGGCTGATCACGACCATGGGCTCGTCGCGAGTGAGGGCCTCCCTGACGCTCTGCGTGAGGTTCTTCTTAGTCGTGGCGCTGGCGGCAAGCCCGTTGTTGCCGATGGCTATGCCCTTCTCGATCTCGTTGCAAGGCAGCGCCGTGATGGGCAGCTTAATGCCCGTGAATGATTGGCCCTCGAGCGTCAGATGCTGCAGCATGTCGGCGCGGGGGAAGGGCTTCCTCTTGTTGAGCATTTTCTTGTAGCCGGCGAGCAGGGATGCCTCCAGATCAGCCCGCCAGTATGATCCGGCCGCGTACATTACGCCCGGTGGCCACTCCCCCATCATGCTGCGAATCCTTGCGGATGTTCCAGTTCAGCCCATCCCCGTTCGAAGTTTACGAATGTTTACTTTGGGTCTGGCGACAATAGACACGCGCACAAATAGCCGGACGTGGAACACCTTAGCTCGCATTGGTAGCCCGGGAGTCTGGGAATAGGAATTGGGCGTTGTCGGCATCCTAGCATCGTACCGCAGTAGTTCCGACGTTTCGAGCGGCCAGCGATGGCGAGAAATCGCCGGAATCGCAACCAGCAGCGGAGATATGGCGGGCCTCAGCCGCGACCTCAGCCGAGGCGTGGCGGCCGCACCGACTACGATGACGACGGCTACCATTACGAGTACTATTATGGGCCTCCTGGGGGCGTGCACTTCTTCACCGAGCCTCCCAAGATAGGCGTGTGGCGGATGGTGGAGCTGTGGGCGGTTGGGATGTACGTGTGGGTGATGCTGCTGCGGGAGTACTTGATCGACCTCCTATACCCCACCAAGGCGCAGCAGGACGCCAGACGGACGTGGCAAGACTATCAGCGCAGGAAACAACAGGTGCGCTGGCCGATCCACACAAACGACACCTCACACAGAGGACCACACAGAGGAGAAGCGAGCGTGTTTATGTGGGTGTGTGTCATGTGCATTGACTGACGCAGGAGGAAGAATGGCGGCGCGGCGGGTGGGACAACGAGGAGGGTGCCGATGGCGGCCGCTGGGGCGATAGTGGTGTGCAGGAGGAAGAGGAGGACAAGGGCCCGCCGCCACACGAGGTCCTGGGGGTCAGCGAAGACGCGTCAGAGAAGGAAATACGCAGCGCATACAAAAAGAAGGTATCAACGCCAAGCCATACTCGACCACTTTCCCACCCACCTTGTCTGTTGTGTTGTGTGAGATGTGGTGCAGGCGCTCATCCTGCATCCGGACAAGAACCCTGGCAAGGAGGAGTGGGCCAAGAAGCAGTTCCACGCCCTCGGCCGGGCGCACGAGGAGATGATGAAGCGCATCAACGCCAAGAGGGCTGCCGAGACCACCAACGACAGCACTGACAATGACAATGAAAACAACGAGACCGGCGAGCAGGACACCCCCAACAACGAGACGGACCAAGGTAGGCAGCCGTGGCAATGGATCGGTGTTGTCGGTCGCTGTGTCAGCCAGCCTCTGTGGTCTGCATACATAGGTCGGTATCTGCTTGCTGTGTTGATTTGATGTGTATCAGATGGGCCCTCCGGGGCCGCCAGCCCTCGCGAGCGGGCCAGGGAGGAAAAGAAGAAACGAAAAGAGGCGGAGAGAGAGTTCGAGCGGTGAGGGAGAGAGTGAGTGAGTGCGTCCACCCAGCCACCGAGCCACCCGTGGGCACCCAACACACACACACACACACACACACATGTTTTGTGTGTTCCATGTGTGTGCAGTCAGTGCAAGGCTGAGGATCAGCGGCTCAAGCAGGCCAAGGCGCAGCGGGCCAGAGAGGAGGCGGAAGGGTACAACATGCACAAAGACCACGCACAGGATGGTCGCTCTCCATTTCATATTTATTGTGTGTGTGTGGTGCAGGAGTTCTTCGGCAGCAGGTTTGGCGGACGGCTGGGACGGCTCGAGCCACGGGTTGTACAGCGAGTACAACAGCCCAGGCCACCTGCAGGCCATCATTCGCGAGGACTGCCTGTAAGACATAAGACCCTCGCGCACAACACACACACACACACCATGCTGTGGTCGATTCCCCGTGTGCCTGTATCAGTCACCTGTTCGTCAAGATGCTGGTCGACCAGGTGCTGGTCGATCAGGAGGGCGTGGAGTCCCTGGCGTCCTTCCTGACCCAGGACTTGGGCCGCGGTTCCACCCCGCTGCACTTCTGCGCCTTCTTCGGACGGATCTTTATCGCAGGCAGATTGGTCCAGGTAAATAAATAAAGAGACGAACCAGCATCGACGAGAAACAGCGGCATGTTACGGAGTGTTTCATGTGTGTGTCCTTGTCTGTCTGCATGAATGCAGCTTGCCCAGCAGCTCACTGATATGCGCGTCGAGCCGCTGCTGTTCAAAACTCTCATCATGCAGAAAAACCAGGTGGGTGAACCTCCGCCTGTGTGTGTGTGTGTGTATATGTGTGTGTGTGTGTGTGTGCATTGACCAGGATGGCTATACTCCCTTCGAGGTGGCCAAGGAGAGGTTTGGCGACGCGCCGCACGGCAGTGACGGCCACTGCCTGATGGTCCGCCTGCAGACGTTGCAGGAGCACATCGAAAAGGTGGCTGGGCGGGCGCACGCAGACACACACACACAGATAGCAGTGCGCTGTGCATCTGTGGCTGTGTGCATGTGTGGCTGTGTGGCTGTGTGGCTGTGTCGATGCAGGTTGAGGAGGGCAAGAAACGTCGTATTGACTGGCGAGGCATCATGCTGGTAGTATGCACGTAAGCAGACACCGAACAGACAGACAGACAGAGGACAGACTCGAAGAGCTTCCACCCTGCTTGCAGGATCCTTGTGGCGCTTGCGTTGCACCTGCACCTGCCCTACTGGGTGGGATGGAGACCCACCGTCACCGTCGCAATAGCCGTGAGGACACACGAAGCCTTCCTGGCCACCTGGCTGTCTGTTCTAACCGCACTCTTCCTCTCTCTGTGTGTGTATACTCAGCTGTGTGCATGGGGTGGCTCGGCGGTCGTCCTCGGCGGCTGCGCGTTGTGGGTCGTATTCTACTGCATGGCTTTCATCGGCAAACTTGCCATCGGCCTGGTCTGTGAATACTGGTGCGTTGCCATCGGCCTATGCTGCGAATACTGGTGCGGATCTCATGACCCGGAAAGGATCAGAATCCCTCCATTCACTCATCCATGTGTGTGTGGGTGTGGGTGTGTGGGTGGATGGGTGGGTGGGTGGGGGCTGTTGGTGCAGGTGGCAGGCGATTCTGGGTGCGGTGGTAGTTGTGGGAGTAATCGCAAACCTCGAGATAAACGTCATGAACATGAGCGGGCAGGTCGTCTGGGTGGTGGAGGTCGGCCTCCACGCGGTGACGGCCGTCCTCTCTGTCTTCAAGAGAGCTGACACGCTGTGCATCAAGGTATGTGTGTGTCAGTTGTGTGTGTGAGAGAGATATGACGCCCCAGTGTGTGTTCTGTGTGTATGTGCCCCTTTTGCAGTTCATCGAGCTGATGTGCGTCTGGGATTGGCTCGTGTGGCTCGTCAGGACAGCAAAGTCATCACTGACGCGGCTCAGCGGCAAATGCTATCCCACGACCAGCACCAGCACCAGCAGCACCGTCAGCTCGCTGCCGTTGTCTCCCTCCCAGCTGGCCATCGCCGACGACACACGCCCACCCACACCACACAGCAGCAGCGCACAGCAGCTGCCGATAAAGACTCGCGTCAGCAAGTGGCTACTGTCACGCCTGATCGACGCCCTGTCATGTGTGTCGTCGTGCCTCTCTATGGTGTCTGCGCTCTTTTTCCGGCTGGACCCGCGCATGCCCTTCCGGTGCAAGCACCTCTTGACGCTGGCCATCGTCACGGTCACCTTGTGGAAGTTTGGCGTTGTGCCGGGTGGCAACCTCGCCGTGTCCATGCCCTCGATGTCCTCGCTCAGCCAGCTGTGGTCCCCTCTCCCGTCGCATTTCAGCCCGCCAAGCCCCTCCGCATACCGCAGCGCCCACAGCCGCGCTGCATCTGAGTCCATCCACCAAGATGACGATGACGAAGAGGAGGAGGAGGAAGACGACTTCTTCGACGAGGACGTCGGTGCCGCCCCTACCTCTGCCCCTGCCCCTGCCAAGAACAAGACGTCAAGCATGCAGCAAGAGGGGGCAGGGGATGAGGGCAGCGAGGGCGAGGAGTCTGCCCAACCGGCGCTGGCGGACGACGACGCCAGCGAGCAACACGACCATCACCATGAAGAAGATGCAACGACTGACGACGAACCATCGACACCCCATCGCCCGTCCGAGCCGTCGCCGGCCAGTCATGTCGTCCCTGATCCAGCGGATGACACACGGTCTGCCTCTGAGTCCGAGGCACCTGACGTCGACGAATCGGGCGAGAGCTCAGCAGAGGACATATGGGTGGCTGAAATGGATGAAGGGGATGAGTTTGAGGATGATGGTGCCGATGCAGCTGCAGCCATCCCAGAGAAGCCACAGCATGTCTGGCAGTCGGTGCGGCTGCCGACAGATGACGATGATAGCGATGGTGACAGTCTCGAGGCCAAGCCACCCATCACGCCACAGCCCCATGAGCCCTCGCCTGAGCCACCAGCAGAATCCGCAGCAGATGCTGCTGCTGCTGCTGCTGATCCTGGGGCCGATCCTGAGGCTGACATAGAGTCCGACGACATGGACACCGAGACAGAGGAGGCAGCCATCGACGAGAGCCCCGACCTTCCAATGGATGCTGTCACCCTCACTCTACTGGGGATCGTCATCTGGGTAGCACTGGGAGTGGGCTGGTGGCTCTTCTCCGTCAAAGCCAGGCCAGACGACGTCGATGCACCCGACCAGCAGCAGCAGCAGAGCCGGAACGAGACGGCAACAGCGGCGGACGGGCAAGACACCGCCGGGCGGCCCACCGCACATCAGACACCGAGTAGCACCGATGAGAGAGGGCAGGCCGAGCCACGGCCCAGCAGCAGCGGCCGCAGCAGCATCAGCGCGACGCCGAGCCCCCCCAAGCCGTCCGTGTTGCCCTCGGCCAGCCCAGGGGATGATTCGGTGCACAGCGAGACGCCTACATCCACCGTCGCAAGCGAGTCCGCCCAGCCGGTCAGGACAGCAGCAGCAGCGGCCGCCAAGCCTGCTACTGCCCCGTTGTCCCGCAACGCCAAGAGAAAGGCCAGGAAAGAACGGAAAAAGGCCGCAGCCACCGGCCGGGAGGGGGAGAGGGAGGGGCCTGCGGGGACGACACTCGAGGCCGAGGCGCCATCTGCCGGTGACATGGATGAGCACGAGGAGGGCACGCAGCACGAGGAGGAGCCTGCAGGGTCCACCACGCACCCTGAGTCGATCCCAGTGACGGCCCACGACACAGCACCGGCCAGCCCTACCATTCCCACTCGCAGCGTCTATGTGAGAGCCACCAGCAGCCCCGCACAGGTGCTCCCTCCGTCAACGGTGGAGCTGCCAGCCGGGGCACCCCCACGGCCAAATGTGGCCCCCCCGCTCCCTTCGCCAGCCACACCCGAGAGCAAGACCAAGACACCCACCATGACCCCATCACGGCCGAGCGGCAGAGTGTGGGTGCCGACTGCACACCGGGGGCACCAGCAGCAGCAGCAGCAGCAGCCGTCGGACACTCAGTCACGGTCGCCTGAGCCGACGACGATGTCACCATCCCGGGGGTCTCGTGGGCTGGGGAGGGGACTGGGTGTGGGGGTGACGATACGACCGCCGCCGGCCAGCATCACATCGGTGCTCCAGCAGAACGCCTCGCACTGGGGGTGAGCGACGGGCATATTGTTGCATCGGGGTATCAGTCGGGAGGGATATGCTTTGTGTAGATATAGGGAGGGATAGCTGGGGGGGGGAATGCTTCAGAAGCAGAGGAGCGGAGGAAGCGTCTGTCGCAGCGACAGAGGAAGGGTGTGGTTGATAGGCCAGACAGAAGTAGTACGGTTGATAGAGGAATGCAAATCGCACGGGAGCCCTGTCTGTGTCTCTGTGGACCAGGTTTGTGTGTGTCGAATATGTGTGTCTGTACAGCTAGCCAATGAAGTGCCGGCCGGCTCTAGCTTCGCCCACCCACAATTATAACTTTCACTGGGCAGGCAGCTGGGAAGCCAGGCGGGCGGGCGGGTGTGCCAGTGAGTAGCTTCCTCCTTCATGTTGCATGCCATGGATGGGTTGCATGTAGTTCATGTGCTTGTCAAATTGATGAGCCGACCGGCATTTTATGACTCGATTCCCCTCTCTGTCCCACACTCAATACGCACCACAATCAGTCAGAAAAATCAACGGTTCAGCAGAGAATCAATCCTGAGGCTCTCAGTCTTCTAGCTCGCCTTTACGTCCCTGAATGGAGAGCAAAGCAGAAGTAGCCACCGCCTCCAGCAGGCCATACACATCGCAGCAGCCTGCAAACGATAACCGTATCCCCCGCCCGCCCGTCAGTGCGTCCGCCTCCCACCCAATGACGGCGTCACTACCCCCATTCTCCCTCGGAGCAGCCTTCAGCCCCCCTACCATTGCAAGAGGGCCTCTACAGAGCCGAACACACCCTGCAGACGACATCACAGCCCAGAACACAGCCGCAAGCAGCGGATGCAAGAGTGGTGCTGCGCTGTTGGGAGAGGGCCGCCGTGGTTTCTACGCACCAGCCCCTCCACCGCAGAGGGGCCTGCCGAATCTGGCAGCTGTGCAGAGCGAGACAGCACGCCGTGGCGTCAGCAGCAATGTGTGTGACGAGAGCCTGGACGGAGAGTGGGATAGTCTGTTTGGGGATGGCTTGGATGGCTTGGGGCTCAAGAGAAAGCGTGAGGAGTCCCGGGATGGCGACCAAGACGGCGTCAGTCTGTCCTGGGACCATAGCTCTCAGGTGCTGTGCAGTGCAGAGCAGTGCAGTGGCTTCGTCGCATCAATGAGCAGAGAATCAATCAATTGTCTGGTGGGTGGGTGCAGGAGTGGCGCTGCCATTACGTCGAGCGGGGCATCGCGAGAATGAAGATTTTCCCTCAGAGAGTGAGTGAGAAGTCTCCACGCAGTCGAGCATCCTCTCCCATTGATTGTCATCAATTGTCTGTCCGGTCAGCTGCACGGCAACGATGCAAAGCGTCTGGCGGATTCGTTCATGCAGGACGTGGTGGACTCGCGTCTGCTTCGTCAGAGGCAGGCCGAGGCGGCCCGGGAGTGGGACTGCAGGTGGACCAGACAGAATGTGCAGCGGCTGGAGGAGCTGGAACAGGCGCACCAGTACATGATGTCAATGGACATTGCCGCGCCGGTCACCTCAACGCTGATCGTACGTAGGGCACTCAGTGAGTGCCATAGGGATGGAGGCATTGATTGATGTCTCTCTCTCTCTCTCTCTTGTGTGTGTGTGTCTCACTCCCATGCAGGCCTATGCCCGTCAGCGGAAGAGAGTGCCGAAGCCCCGCCGAAGCGAGCCCAAGTCGTTCGGAGAGCTCACCCTCCTCACACACAGTGCCGAAGACGTGTTCCTGGAGGACATCAGAGCCATCCAGGCATATGACGGGTGTGTCGACCCGCAACTACACACCAACAACGGCAGGCGGCAGCAGGACAAGAGGCCTCAGAGGAGGCGAGACATGGCTGCTGCTGCTGCTGCTGCTGGCAGTGAGGGCAGTCGACGATCGCAGGCGGCCAACAGACGGAAGAGTACGGGTGCGGGAAGCCCTGTGGTCTTCAAACACACGGTATGCTGCATGTGGATGCATGGGCGCACACAATCACACTTGTGTCTCCAATGGTTTGTCTCTTCTCATCGGCATCAGCACGAGTCGCCACTGCCCCTGGCTCCAAGCATCGATGAGGACTTCCCCTTCCCCGCTGCCGAGCCCCTCCTGCTGGACCGCCTCAAGCAGGCCTGCCACCAGTGGATACAACAAATCGCCCGCAGCAAGCACGCCAACACGTGGGAGGGCGCTATGGTGCCGGCACAGACGAGCAGTAGGAGGAAATCCAGCAACCAGAAGAAGAGAAAGTCGCAGCCGATGAGCATACTGGACGCCGTTCGTGAGCGAGTCAAGCGTGCGCGTGACGTCAACGACATGCACGCCATTCTGCCGGCTTTGTGGGCAGGCGAGGAGCCGCTGGCGATGGTGCGTGCAATAGCGAAGCTGCGGGAGGGCGGGGAGGTTGAGTTGATGGAGATGGGGTGTGAGGACGGGTTTCACTTCAAGATGAGGGGGCTGCGGGCGCTGGCTGTGTGTGGGGGCTAGATGAAGATTGGTTCCTTCTGAAGATGCACGGTTCATTCAGTGACACGCACGGGCATGAAGTCACGTCTCTGCATTGCTACGGTCTGCACACTGACTGCACAAGCTGACGTTGAGATTGGCCTATATCAGTGTGGCCTCGAGCAGCTCCTTGAGTGCATCACCAGACAATACACCCTCAGCATCTGTCGTCTCGACCTGCACACACAATCAACAACAATGAATGCCACACAGACAGACAGACAGACAGACAGGGATGAGCATTACGTGTCATTCATTAGTGCGTACGTTAGTGCGTCCGTCTTTGACGAATGGCGATGGGTCGAGGGTGTAGGTGCGGATCTGACGACCGAACGACACCTCAGCTGAACCCACTCACACACACACACCGACAGGCATACACACATACACCTATGCATTGAATGTTACAGCCCCACCCATTTACCGGGCTGCACTTCCCCTACGTACCGATTTGTGATGCGATGGCGGTCCTCTCCTTCTTCTTGTCCTCCTGCTGCTGGGCCAGCAATTTTGCCTTGATCATCTGCAGGGCCGCGCTGATCAGCGAAAGGAGGGGACATAGACACATGCACTTGTATTGTGATGGTCCCGTAGGAAAAGTGACTGACACTCACTGACTTGTAGTTTGCAATCTGCCCCGAGAACTGAACAAACACAACACACGGAGACCGACCAACAGACATCCATCCATCCCCCAGCTGCAGTGATGCCCTAATGTGTGCGTGTGTGTGTGTGTGTGTGTGTGTCTTGTTGTCTGTCCTTACCGCCCTGCAGTGCACGGCGATCCCGCTGGGAATATGTGTCAGCCGCACGGCCGTCTGATTGATACAGGCATGACACCACACACATACACAGGCATGCCTCATTCATTCGCCCCAAAGTATTACCTACCGCCCTACAGTTGACGCTCTGCCCGCCTGATGTGTGGGTGTATCCAACCACAGATGCGATGCAAACAGCCGATTAGGCCATACCATGCAGGTGTTCAGCTATGAATGCCATCCATCCATCCCTCGCAGGCAGTACCTGCCCCCGACGCGCGCATGGTTTCCGCTTTGAGCTCATCCTTCCTGATGACAATCGCCTCGGCCTCAGGCGTCTCAGGGAAGACCGTCACCCCAGCAAACGACGTGTGCCTGGCGGGCCCTTGACCACACACGACATCCATCCATCCATCCACCGTGTGTGTGTGTGTGTGTGTGTGGTGTGCCGCATCGTGTGCACCTCTTTTCACCGCTGTCAAACGGTGATATCCTGATGAGCCGATGGACGCCCGTCTCGCCCTTGAGATAAGGCAGTGGCAAGCCGGACGCGTGCCGCATGTGTAAGACTAGCTTGTGATAACCCGCCATGTCGCCGGGCACCTGGTGGACAGTGTCGACGCTCCAGCCCTGGGAGGCTCCGAAGCCCTCGTACATGTCGCCGAGCATCTCCACCCAATCCATCGACTCGGTGCCGCCCGCACCACCTGCATATATCAGACAGACAGACAGACAGACAGACAGGCCGGTCCATTCACATATGCCATTCGATCATTCATGTGAACGAGGGCGTCGATCTCTCACTGACTCTGTATCTCGATGAAGCAGTTGCCGAGGTCTTCGGCCCTCAGGGCCGTCTCCAGCTTCATCTCCTCCACACGCAGGTGGAGGACGCGCAGGTCACCCTCGCACACACGGATGAGCTCGGAATTGTCTTGCGCCTCAGGCTCGTTCTCACTCCCACTCCCCCTCTCACTTTCAGCCCAGCACAGCTCTAGCAGGTCCTTGGTGGCCTCCATCTTGCTCACGAGGCTGCCGAGCTCATCGATGGTGTCCTTGAGCGCCAGCTGGGCCTTCTGCTCGGCTGTCAGGCGAGTCACCCGGCCCTCCTGCAGGTCGCTGTCTATCTGCGCAACAGATCTGACAGACAGACAGACAAGCAAACGCACAGAATACACAGAGATGGTGAATGAATGAGACGATTGGTGGTAGACGTGTCCACACCTCTTGATATGATCATATTGCGTCATGGCCAGCAGATCTTTCAGCGCCGCATCGCTCCTGTCCAGCACCTCACTCGGACGGACAGAAGATGAAGCACAGCGACGGTGGATGGGTGACGGGAGGTGCGATGCTGCTTGACGCAAGACAAGTGCAAGGCGAAGATGGCCACTGATGCGCCTGCTTTGCATCTGACTCTCTCCGTCGTCTGCTCGTTCGTTCTTGAAACCCTGCAGTGAAACCCTGCCAAAGCCGCATTTGTGGGAGTGTCAATGTGCTGTGAAAAAGGGAACAGAAATGATGAGTCTGTCGTCTCTGTCTCACACACTCATTCGATGGAGCGCACTGCCCTATCTATCTACACACTGTCACATAGCAGAGACACGTACGAACGTGTACACACCGGAAAGCTTGTTTGTCACACAAAAGATCAACCAAAAGCTCCTCGTCTACCCCACACACCCCACGCGACACCACACAACGCACCGGACCTTACCACTCAAGTCAGTCAACACCCCTCACCCTCCACCCAGCCCCGCCCGCTCGAACACAAACAAATAAAGGAATGAAACTCACTGCTTTCTCCTCTTAAAAAGACACTCATCTACACCATCTCGCGGACAACCAACGGGCAGGCATGCACCATTACATCCACATCCACGTCCACATCGACATCCACATTTGTCCGTCGGTCCGTCCGTCCGTCCGCCATGCACGCACCGGTCTGTACATGCACGCACGCGCGCACGCGTCACGTCGTGAAGAGCAGGCAGGAGAGGAAGGAAGGAGACCACCTGCAGTGCATGGCCAGTGCGGTGCGGCACATGAAAAACACGCGCACCTCTGGGTCGGTAGGTAGGTAGGTAGGTAGACAAGCCTTGCTGTCTGTCTGTCTCTCTTGCTCTCTCCCTCCTCTCAACCAAACCAGTGAGTGAGTGGCGCAGGTAGCTATGGTGTAGATGACGACAGACACTATGTGCGAAAAACTGAGTACGCAGCCCCCTTGCAAGCTGCACATTCACGTAGAGCGTAGCTAGGTGTCTTGTCGGCAGGAAGTGGCGGTGAAAACTGGAGCACAGTGCGCAGTGAACTCCTGTACACCCAGCAGACATATGCACATTTACATACACACACATGCGCTCGCACACACGCCTCTCTCCCTCCCTCCCTCCCTCTCTCCCCTTGTCCCCATATACGATACCTACCGCTACAAATCCACAGACACATGTACACCACAGACAGACGTGATGTGTGTTTGTTATGGTGATTGATGTATGGGTTACAGATAAACGATTGGTTGGTGCGAATGAATGCGTCATGCGTATATATGTATGTAGGTGTGTATGTAAGCCATTCATTATTGCGATATTTGCGATATGATGGGATAAATTAGAAAGAAGAATAGTGAGTGGGTGAGACTGTCAGGGCAGGGTGGGGATGTGAGCGGGATACATGACACGACACGACACGTGGACGGAAGCCAAGGAAGGATGAGGAAGTGGTCATTCACCCACGTCGAGCACGTACACGTACACGTACACGTACGCATCCTTATGTGCGATCGTATACACGTGCTGCCGCCACACGTGCACACACAGCTAGCTCTCTGACACTCTCTCCCCCACCCATCCCACCCACAACACACCACACCACACACACGCAATTCCACTCACATACACGACACGACAGCAACAAAACGCTCAACCCATCTTGATCCATCGACGCATCGTGCCACGGCACAGGTCAGCCTCTCTGTCCTCCCCATCCCTCCCACTCCCCAGTGAGCAGCAGACTCTACTTCTCTGCCGCGGATCCTTACTCCCCTTCTCTCCAGCGCATCCATAAACATCCACGAATGCGTGTCACTCCCTCTCTCTCTCTCTCTCTCTCTCTCTCTTCCTCCCTCCCAGTGTCTCTCTCCTTCCCGTCAGCTATCTCCTCAGCCCATCTTCAGAGCCGGCGAGGGGCCCACGTCCTCAGAGCTCTCCACATACATGAACGACGGCGACACCACAGGCGTGCTCGATGGCGACACCGACGACAGACCGTGGGGCGGCGAGAGGCACCCCACACACGCCTTCAGCGCCGCCATGTCGGCCGCAGTGGGTGCGGACATCTCCTCATGCTCGCTGCTGTCTGTCGTTTGGTCCTCACTGTGCGCCCTCGCCAGCGACAGGTCAGCAGGGGCCGACAGGCGCAGATGGGGGATGCGCGGCAGGCAAATCTTCATCTTGCCCTCGCTGTGGTGCGGCTGACACACACCCACACACACACCCACACACACACACAGAGGGAGAGAGAGAGAGGGGGCGGCAGTTGGTGTGGCTGTGCAGGAAAGGTGCAGGCCAGAAGCTGAGCGTGTGTGTGTGCGCTGACTTGACTTTCGCGCACCAGTGATCAGCAAGGATTTGGAGGGAGGACGTGTGTGCCGGTCGTGGTGGTTGTGGTTCTGTTGGAAACCAAGTTGGGGTAGGCCTGGGAAAGTGCTTTGTAGAACACATGGGGGTCTCTCCAAAAAGCAATCATATCTCCCTTAGGATGGCACAAAAAGTGTGCTAGAATGCACCACAGCGTGTCCTGGTTGTTGAGAATGGGCAGCATCTTCCTGAAGACACGCAGATACAGACAGAGATGTCAGCTGGGGAGCCTTCTGGCTGATTCTCGCTTCGTGTGAGGACTTTCTGTGTGAGTGCCCCTCCGGTGCTGTTGTGTTTATGGAGAGGGCATGTGCCGTTAGCGACCCCTAGCACCACTCAAGCTCGCAACTGTAAACACTCTCTGATTTTGAGGGCTTTTTCCCATTGCAGGGGGGCCGGGAGGCGTCTGTACGTCTGTTCTTGAAACCCTGCAGTGAAACCCTGCCAAAGCTGCATTTGTGGAGTGTCAATCAGTGCTGTTAAAAAGGGAACAGAAATGCTGTCGTCTCTGTCTCACTCACCTCACACAGTCATGCATTCGATGGAGCGCACTGCCCTATCTATCTACACACTTTCACATACACAGCAGGCAGAGGTGACGGACGTAGGTACGGGTACACACCGGAAAGTTTGTTTGTCGCACAAACAAAAGATCAACCAAAAGCTCCTCGTATACCACACCCCACACACCACACCACACCACACCGGGCCGCACCGGACCGGACCACTCAACTCAGTCAACACCCCTCACCCTCCACCCCACCCAGCCCCGCCCGCTCGAACACAAATAAAGGAATCAAACTCACTGCTTTCTCCTCTTAAAAAGACACTCATCTACACTATCTCGCGGACAGCCAACGGGCAGGCATGCAACATCACATCCACATCCACATCCACATTTGTCCGTCAGTCCGTCCGTCCGTCCGCCATGCACGCACCGGTCTGCACATGCACGCACGCGCGCACGCGTCACGTCGTGAAGAGCAGGCAGGAGAGGAAGGAAGGAGACCACCTGCAGTGCATGGCCAGTGCGGTGCGGCACATGAAAAACACGCGCACCTCTGGGTCGGTAGGTAGGTAGGTAGGTAGGTAGACAAGCCTTGCTGTCTGTCTCTCTTGCTCTCTCCCTCCTCTCAACCAGACCAGTGAAGGAGTGGCGCAGGTAGGTACATATGGTGCAGATGACGACAGACACTATGTGCGAAAAACTGAGTAGGCAGCCCCCTTGCAAGGCAAGCTGCACATTCACGTAGAGCGTAGCTAGGTGTCCTGTCGGCAGGAAGTGGCGGTGAAAACTGGAGCACAGTGCGCAGTGAACTTCTGTACACCCAGCAGACATATGCACACACATACACACACATGCGCTCGCGCACACGCCTCCCTCCCTCCCTCCCTCCCTCCCCCTTTTCCCCATATACGACACCGCTACAAATCCACACACACATGTACACCACAGACGTGATGTGTGTTACATAGTTATGGTGATTGATGTATGTATGGGTTACAGATAAACGATTGGTTGGTGCGAATGAATGCGTCATGCGTATATATGTATGTAGGTGTGTATGTAAGCCATTCATTATTGCGATATTTGCGATATGATGCGGTCAATTAGAAAGAAGAATAGTGAGTGGGTGAGACTGTCAGGGCAGGGTGGGGATGTGAGCGGGATACATGACACGACACGACACGTGGACGGAAGCCAAGGAAGGATGAGGCCCCGAAAAAGTGGTCATTCACCCACGTCGAGCACGTACACGTACGCATCCTTATGTGCGATCGTATACACGTGCTGCCGCCACACGTGCACACACAGCTAGCTCTCTGACACTCTCTCCCCCACCCATCCCACCCACAACACACCACACCACACACACGCAATTCCACTCACATACACGACACGACAGCAACAAAACGCTCAACCCATCTCGATCCATCGACGCATCGTGCCACGGCACAGGTCAGCCTCTCTGTCCTCCCCGTCCCTCCCACTCCCCAGTGAGCAGCAGACTCTACTTCTCTGCCGCGGATCCTTACTCCCCTTCTCTCAAGCGCATCCATAAACATCCACGAATGCGTGTCACTCCCTCTCTCTCTCTCCCTCTCTCTCTCTCTCTCTCTCCCTCCCGGTGCCTCTCTCCTTCCCGTCAGCTATCTCCTCAGCCCATCTTCAGAGCCGGCGAGGGGCCCACGTCCTCAGAGCTCTCCACATACATGAACGACGGCGACACCACAGGCGTGCTCGATGGCGACACCGACGACAGGCCGTGGGGCGGCGAGAGGCACCCCACACACGCCTTCAGCGCCGCCATGTCGGCCGCAGTGGGTGCGGACATCTCCTCATGCTCGCTGCTGTCTGTCGTTTGGTCCTCACTGTGCGCCCTCGCCAGCGACAGGTCAGCAGGGGCCGACAGGCGCAGATGGGGGACAGTCTTGGCGTGACTGCGGGGCATTGGGGGTGTGTGTCGAGTGGCGGGCGGGGCGTTTGGACACAGCAGGGCCTCCAGAGATGGTAGCAGGGGTTGTGTGGTGTCTGCGCGATACATGATGGGGAAGACGGGCAGGATGAAGAGGGGGAACGAGATGGAAGCGCAGATCTCCGATACGGCGCTGGCGAAATACCAAGTCGTGCACAGGTCGGCGAAGGCGGTAAACTGGAAGCATATCGCTGCGGTCCAAAAGCATCCCTTCCGCAGCCAGATCGCCCAGTTCATGTCTCGAAGCATGACCTCGTCGAACACCATCACGTTGGCCAACATATAGATGACTGTCGGCTCTGAACGGCAAGGCACATGAAGGAAGGGGAAAGCAAGTGATGCCGGCCGGCCACCAGTGTGTCTGTCTCAGGTGTGTGCAGAAATGTCTCGCCTCACCGAAGAAGATGAAAGCGAAGAAGTTGTGCCAGAAGATGCTCACACGCAACGGGACGGCGAGAGTTCCCATCGCTCCCATGAAGGTCAGCCAGGACAGGATGCGCGTCACATCGACGTAGATGCCCGAACGCGCGTGTGTGGACGGGAGCGTCTGCTGGATGATGTCGGCGTAGAGCTGGACGAACCGCACCCAGCTGGTGGCGGAGAGGGAAAGCAAGAAGACGCCCACAAGCTGCTCCGCTGCACACACACAGAGACAGACCGACCGACATGCACGCGTGCACTGACAGATCTTCTCTGGTGTCCTCCCGTGGGTACGTTCGTGATTGATGCTGTGCGAGAGGTACAACTTGGGATACCTCAGCCTCCCTGCACATACACACACAGACGCAGTCAGAGAGTCGTCCTCCCTGGTGTGTGGACAGGTATCACACCACTGGCTCACCGTTCCAGAAAGATGTGATGTACGTGAGAACGAATGTGATGGGGAGAAGCACGGCGACGCCAGAGGATATGCAGACCCGCACAGGTAAGCGAGGCCGCCGGGAAGGCGTTCCCGGCCCCTGGTCCCTGTCCAAACGCCCCGCCCGTGGGTGACTGATGCGCCGTGTGAAAGACGCGTTCCTGTCCCCATGGAAGCCGCCGTGCGTGGACCAAGACTCGGGGGAGCTGTTGGTGGGAGGGAGGGACGCACCGGCGCGAGGGGATGAAGCAGGGGAGGCAGTCGTTGTACTTGGACCAGAAGAGACCTCCTCTCTCTCGGCGACACGCCTCCTCGCTCCCCAACAGGGAGATCTCCGGTGGGAGAGGTCATCAAAGATCATTGTAGACGCTGAAATTCTGTTGCGATGTTATCGTGGTCGTCAGACTTTGGTGAAGCACCGCGTCATCTCTTCTCGGAGTTCTCCTCGAGCTCGCAACCCTGACCCCGCGGTCTTTTAGCGCCGCCCTAACTCTGTAACCCTTCTCCCCCCTTCTTTTATACCGTACTGCATGCCCGCACGATGCCGTATCGCGAGTACAGGCAGCGGTACAGACAGCAGCATAGCGAGCCATCGGGCTTCTCGAAGCTGAGGAAGAGAAGATCATCGGTTGCCCCGTCTGAGGCGGAGCTGGAGCGATGGGAGGTGAGTGGGCAGGGAGGGCATTGTCGATGGGGCCAGCTGTGTGCATTCATGTTCATTACTGTCGGTGCAGGCTGCCTACCTGACTTCGAGAGCCGCCCTCTCCCTTCAGCGGTTCCGCCATATCGTTGGTTTTTTTTTGCGTCGCATCTGTCGTCCACGCCTTGGCTTCTATGGTTTCGTTCTTCGGGTTTTTTGCTACGCCCATCCCAGTCATGTACTGTTCCCCCCCAGGCGCAGGCGCTGTCGGAGACAATTTCCACACCAGACCCTCGGTATCCGCGCAGGCGCTGTCGGGATTGTTCCTCGACATACGAAACCCATCGCGGCTGGCCAACGGGGGCTTCTTCGCGGCCATGTATGTCCTGATTGTGGCCTTGGAGAAGCACTTCGTCGTCCGAAGCCGGGCCGCTCCTATGCTTTTGGCGGCGTTCAGCGAACTCTGGGTCATCCTCGTAAGCCATCTGATTGTACTAATTTGTGACCCTCCCCTGGCTGTGGTGTTGGTGCAGCTCTGCCTGGTGGACTCGCTTGAGGATGGGCATGCTTGACTGTCGCCTTTCCAGCTGTCAAGACTAGTATTGCTTTGTCCCGTATTGACGGCGTCGATTGGGCCTGGGCCATTCTACATGGTCTGCTTTTTGCTGTGGAACGTCTGTCTCATCGCGGGCCTTTCTTTCGGGGGGCTTATCACGTGTATCCTGCCGCAGAGGGAGGCGCCAGGGCCGCCCATAATCATAAGCATACTGGGAGGGGCCGTGTCCGTATGGATCGCTTATTTGGACGAGTCGGCCAGCAGAGGCAGCTTCATGTACATGCCCGTTCCTGACGTGCCGTCCAACCACTCCAGCGAGGACGCTGCCAACGTTAAGACGGCCATCGAGCGGATGTCTGAGAGCCTCACCAGCCTCATGCGGCGATACCCTCGTAATCCTGAAGTCATCTCCGTGACGAGATATGCCCTGTCATGCCTCGATGAGAACCTCTACCAGCTGGACCTGACCGGCATCGAGTCGAGCTCTGATCCATTCACCGGAGACAAGAGCCCTAAAAGGCCTGATGGCGAGAGCGGCATGTTCGATTACCTTGTGAGCTTCAACCAGCCTCGTGCGCCCATGATGTCGAAACCCTCAACGTGAGCTCAGAGACAGATACCTGGATGACATGGCGACCTGCGTCTTTCTTCGTGTCTCAGGGGTGGGGATCGAAGTCTACTGGGTGTTGGGATGCAGACAAGTGTGCAGATCGAGAAACTAATGGCCTCAGACGCCGTGATTGGCGTGTGGGGTCTGGATCTGTTCGGCCTCGACAAGGCGTCCAAGCACCACCCGCTGTCTACCATCGTCATGGGAATCAACCAAAGGTGAAGCATGTATACATACATACATACATATACACGTCGATTTAATCTGAATACCGATGCTGCATGCAGGTGCGACATGACGGGCGTGCTTGGCCTCGATCGCCGCAAGTTCTATCGGTTTGTCACTCGCATTGAGTCACTCTACCGCGCAGACCCGCCATATCACAATGCCATTCACGCGGCCGACGTCACCAACTCACTATTTTTCTTCATGCAGGCAGCAAGTAAGCCGGAGACATATGTACAGCGACACGGACAGTGATTGAGATGGTCTCGAGTTGTGTATATCAGATTGGCTCGAGCTCATCCAGCCAGTGGAATTGTTCTGGCTGCAATCATCGCTGCCATGTGCCACGATGTGGGCCATCCTGGCACGAACAATGCGTACATGGTAACGACCTGACGACACAATCAAAGGAAACCCCTGTGACGCCTTTCAAGGGTCTGTGACTCCTCTTTAGGTGAGCAGCGTTAGTAGGCTGGCGCTCCGTTATAACGACCAATCGGTTCTGGAGCACTTCCACTCAGCACTCACGTTTGAGGTGCTCCAGTCTGCCGACACGAACCCACTCGACAAACTCACCAAGGACGAGTTCAGAACGGCAAGGTAGCCATGCATACTTCATCTGACCAAGCAGTTCGACGTCCCCTGTGTGTCTCCGTCTTCCCTTTTTTTCCAAACTGATCATATGCGAGATTATTCTGGCGACTGACATGAAGAAACACTTCGAGTTTGTTGCCAAGTACAGAGCGCATTTCGCCAAGTACCTCACCAAGGATCCCCCGGCGATAGAGAGCGACAGCGACTCTGCATCAAGGTTGGGGCTGAAGTGGGGATCGACAAATGACCTGGCCTACGACTGGCCGTCGAGGCTGCTCATGTTCAAAATGCTCACGAAATGCGCCGACCTCGGACACGCCGGTAAACCTGCTGTCTCACTGATTTCTCCGGTCCTTGTGGTTGACAGGTGGGGCCAATTGTGTCTCAGGAAAGCCGCGAGAGCTGCATGAACAGTGGAGCGTGGCGATTGCCGAGGAGTTTTTCCGTCAGGGAGATCTGGAGAAAGTGGAGGGGCTTCCGGTCAGCCCCCTGTGCGATCGGGACGAGGTGGTGTTCGAGAAGAGTCAGAGCGAATTCATTCGCGTGATCTGCATCCCGTTGTTCTCTGCGCTGGCGGACGTTGTCAAGTGAGCCAGTGTTGACAGAGCGACGCAGGTACTTCATCGTGGTTGATCTTTCCTTGCAGGTGTCCTAGCATTGACAAGGCCTTGATGCAGCAGGCCAGACAGGTGAGACACGACTTGAGGACTCGAAAGAGACTCCAGCGCCATCACATGCGCTTTGCCTTGCGCTTTGGATGGGCAGAATCGATCTCACTGGCAGTGGCAGATCCTATGCCTGTCTGCTTCTGTTGACAAAGGACGATCCTCGATCTGCGGGGACAAAGAGAGAGACACCAGCACCAGGCGTTCGAAGAAAGGCATGCCCCAGTCCCTTCCGGCCACCACATCAGGCAACAACAGCAACAATAACAGCCGGGAGAGCGTCATTTTGGAGCACATCCGCAAAAAAGCCCTCTTCCATCAGGAGGCCAAGAGCGACGCGAATCGGTGGAGCTCCTCAGCCTTGAAACTGCCGGGATTTGAAGAAACGGACCTCTTGGCGAGCCAGGCCAATCCGCAAGGCAGATACTCATTGCGACGGAGTAGCTCATCTGACGGGTCGTCTCGTTCGTCATATGCTGAGGCGGGCGACCTGAGCCTGCTCCAGCAGTTCTTCAGGTCACTTCAGAACACACAGTCTCTCTGTTTCTCCACGCGTTCGTCTGTGCGTGCAGACGTCAATCCATCTCGCAAGAGGTGCCGTTTGGCATGGCAAAGACAACCACAGCAGCGATGAGCTACAGGCACGACGGCGACCCTGAAGTGGCGGGCAAGGCAGAACAACAAAGGGACGCCGAGATAGAGATGATGAAGGATGCCCTGACGGCTTACACAAAATCCAGCACTCAGGAATCAGCTGACCAGGAGGCCAATCGAGCATCATCTGACCTTCGATCGAGGCGGCGAGCCGGCGACGTTCGCAAGGGGCAGTGATTGAGTGTATCAGTAGGCAGGCAAGGCACCTATAGCCTTTGTCCCTGGGCTTGGTTTGGTCATTCAAAGGGCATACTGGTTTTTGGGAGTGTCGTGTCTATTGTTCATGGACCGTCTTCTCTCGCCAGCCGTCTCTTGATAGAGAAAGGCAAGGCAATAGTCGAGAATGCCATGTTGCTCTTGACGTAAAGGGCATTGAACAGCATCTCTCGAGCGGGATCTCTGTTTGTTGGCTTCATTTTTATTTCTTAAGTTTCACACAAGTGCTTTCAATGGTATTGTGTCAGGACCCGACTCACTGTCCCACATAATGTGTGCATACCGTGTTCACATGAAGAAATCTATACAGTGTGCGGAGGAGACGAGAAAAAATCCACAAGACGCGAAACACACAACAAATAAACACACGTACTGAGTGCAGATGATTCCCTCTCTCGCCCTACTCAGACAGCTGGCTTTCGAGTTCCGATCGTCGTGGCCCGCCTGACTGTCGGTCTTTCTACAGACAGCGCTCTTGTCTTCTCTTTCTGGGTGTCCACCTCCCCATTCCCTGCCGCCGAATCTGTCTCTTTAGGCGGCGAACCAAAGGTGACGCCACCACCTTTCGGCTTCTTCTGCCTGGGCGTCACAGCTCGTGGGGTGGGCGAATGGGAGCTATCGGGTGTGCTCTTCTGTGATCCAACTCGTTCCTGCTGCTTCGCGGAGGGCGACGAGAGAGCCTTGACCTTCGCCTTGTGCGCGTGGACGACGGTGTTTTTCCTTGTCGCTCCACCTCCTCTCTTGCCTAGAATGCCTCCGAAAGAAAGGGAAAGGAGAGCTTTCAGCGGAGGCTTGGCCTTGCCCATGACGATGGTTCCTCGTGGAGTTGTGGCGCCAGGGGTCCCTCCTGTCGCGGACAGCCGGGCTTCCTTCTGCGTCGGCTTGATGTATGCGCATCTCTTCAGAATCGCAGCGAGGCGGGATTTTGTCCGATGAGCAGCCTGACAGCAGAGACACAACAGAACCATCCAAGGGACTGGACTCTGTTGTCGATCAAGCCCTGGCGTACCAGTGGGAGCTTTCTTAGCACAAATTGCGTCCATTCATATGACGTTTGGGGCGGGGCGGCAGCTTGCATGTGCAGCTGCTGGCTTACAATGCTTCCCACTCTGGCCCCTCGGCGCCGGGATGAGTCGGGCTTCTGAATATCGATGGGCATGGGCAGAATCGCCTTGCGGGGCTCTTCCAGCGGAAAGCTCCAGATGTTGGTGCCCTCCAGCCTTGAGATGCCGTGGTGGCGACAGGCCAGCTCCTCGCGGCTAAGGTCGAAGAGGTTCTCCCACAAGTGACGCACCGCTGTGTCTGCAATGGCACATGTTGACGGTGATTATACAATCTTGGAATACGTGTGTCGTAAGTCTGCCTACTCTCTTGCTGCAAGGGTGCGATGGCTCTCTGAAGGTCCCGCTGTACCATCACGAAGACCTGCTGCTCCGTTTGGGTGGCCTGGCGCTCTAGCTTGAAGCTCGCCTGCCCTGCGCGAGACGGGGTGGCGGCAGTGGGGCTCATCCCGATCACCTGACGGCAAAGAGAACATCCAGTGGGTGAGTTGCCTCTGCCGGCCGTGTGGTGTGCGTTAAGTGGCCTACCGAGGCCCTGCGCGCCCTCGACCTGGCCGATTTGGCCTTGGCGGCCTTTGGGCTCGCTGTGAAAATGTCGCCGACTTTCTTGGCCGCGACGACCGATGGAGCCTCGCTCTTCTTTGATCTTGCAACGGTGGACGCGTCAGCCTCGGATGAGCCCTCTGAGCTTTCCTCCTCAACACGCATCGACACCTCTTTTATCATGTACTGGGAAAAAGGAAAAAAATCGCGTTGTCTCGCAAGTTGGCGTGTCCATCTCATATGGTGTGCTTTTACGTTTTGGAGTCGTTCCCATCTCTCTTGCGGGAAGTTGAGTGTATCGCTGCGTATCTTGCCGAGGAGGGACGAAAAGTACTCAGTCTCGGGTAGGAACAGCTGGCGGTACAAGCTGCGTGCATATCACACACACATCAGTTATATATGGTCGTCGCACATGGGGCGGAGGGGCAAGGCTGGGCCACCTTTCTTCCTGGTTGAGGTCTTGCAAGAGGATCAGCATGGGCAGCAGAGAGTACAGCACCTGGTCGTGTGGATCGCTGGAAGAGATTCGACACACACACGGCGTCTGAAACCAAGCTCCCGTGTGTATACGGGAGAAGACGTACTCTCTCTCCACGAGTATACGCAGGCTCGGTGGCATGGTGGTTTCGAAGTAGTGGATGAGGATGTTGACGAACTGCAGGCTGGTCTCGTCAAATGCACACTCCGCAACGCCCCATGTCTGCCACACCACACACACATGGCATGCACATGTGTCGCCCAGCCCCCAGCCTTGGGTTGGTCCGCGTACCTACCTCTTCCAAGTGCACCAGTGCAACTTGTATATTCTGGTTCTCGTCCAGCTGAGGCCGCAAGGACGCCTAAGAGGGAGGGACAGATGGAGAGAGACACATGTGGGGATATCCTTTGTTAAGCTCAGGTCACTCTCGGCCAATCGATGGCCGACTTACGGGGTTGTTGTGATAGTCAATGAGCACGTCGATGAACGTGTGCAGGTCGGAAAGCAGGATGAAAGACAGGGGCTTCAGAGCTGACAGCCAGCCGGGCAACCAACGCACGGGGGTCGGCAGGGGCAGATGCGAGACATCGTGTCCCACCTACCTGGGAATGTCTCGATTGTGTTGTCTTTGCCCTCGCCATGAGGGTCCAAACGACGGGCTGTCGAAAGCTGCAGGCAGAATCAAGAAGCATAAGAAAACGATGGAAGAGACGCCATTCCAATCTCTTCTATGTCCCTGACAAGTCGCGGGTCGAATTGCGGCTGGTGGCCGCTCCCGAACTTGCCGATCCGACGCACTTGGGCCAGTCTATGCAGGAAGGATGCTTCCTGAAGAGGCCTGAAAAGGTCCACGTCGGCGACAGTGCTCTGCGCCTGAGCGGTCATCTCCAGCGCAGATGCTATCAACAGCCTCACTGGCTCCAGCGCACAGTCGAGGATCCGCCGCCTCTCCTCTGTTAAATATTTTTAGGAAAGGGTGTTTCTTATAATTTAGGAATTGATTGCAACGGTCTACCTGTGTAGACCTTGTCAAACCGTGAATAGCTCCGCATGAAGACACCTGTGTGGGAGACGAGTGTCTCCAGGAAGCGGCGCCAGACGGCCCGGGGCGGCGTGGTGGGAATGCTGTACATCTCTGCCAGCCACCTGCACACAGTGCCACGAATGTGAGAATGAGAATACTATGCTATGCTATGCTATACTCATGCCCACCCGGGGATCTGCCGCAAAACTCTTCCGAAGTCATGTCTCACGCGCTGAGCGGCGTGCAGCACCTCCTCGTCGACGTCATATCGCTGCCCGTTGTACTCAAAGTAGTGTTCGGGATGAAGGCTTTTGCGCACCACCTCAGGCCGGATGAGCGAGGTCATTGTCGCCTCCTCTTGCTTCCTCCTCCCCGCCTGTGCTGCAGGCTCCATAAGAGAACCGAATATCGTGTGTCGTGGCTCTGGGGGAGGGACGAGCTCAGGCTTGCGATGTGTCCGTGGGCCCCCATCTTTTGACGTGAGCAGCTGAACGAAACCGGAAAGCTGCCGCAGGAAAGCTTCCAGGAATCTACAAGAACAAAAGTAAGTGAAGGCGTCCCTCCAACGGACAGCAGCACATGCCTCCCTGCCTTCTGTTGCTCACTTGGGGTTGTGTGCGAAAGTGGCAACGGTCTGCCCCTGTACCAGATCATGCAGACTGGCAACGGCATCCTTCACCGCATGATACAACGACGTATCCAGCAGGGGCGTCTGCAGCGTGCGCCGCGCCGTCCTCAGCCTCTCCCTGCCTTCGTCCATCTTCTCCTGCGCCGGCGAAGGCACCCTCGACCGCGCTTGCTTCGACTCACTGATCGGCTTTGGCACAGCCGTTCGCTGCCGCCTCTCGGTCCTAAGCTGGACGAGACGCGTCTCTGTCAGCACTTGTGACCTGTCGTCCCGGTATGCAGACCTGTCGGTGAGCACTCGTGGTGACGGCCGTAGGCGGGATGGAGGGGGGGATGGGAATGGAGAGTGCGAGTCGACGGTCTGTGAGGGCACGTCTGTGGTCAGGCTGGTCAGGCCCCTTCCCTCAGCTGTTCCGAGCCTCGTGCCCTTGACAGGCAGAGGTGGCAGTGGGGGTACGGCGCGGGTGTGGCGGAGCCGGAGTGTCCTCTCCAGAGTCTCACGAATGACCAGACGTCTCCTTGCGTGCTTGTTGCCTGCCAACGGAAAAGTGATCGTTTCATCATGAAATGGACTGTGTCAATCGATCAACTCTCAATCACGCGACAAACATCATGAGAAGGCGTACCAAGTCGGTGGAGTGATTCCGACGACGAGGGCCGAGATGGCTGCTCGATGGGCGGCAGATGTGGTGGGGAGGGCAACGCATGAGGGGCGAATGGCTTGAAGTGATACACTTCCCGTTCTGCCTCCTTCTGCCCGACCGTGACGCCCTGCAATGCACGCGTTGCATCTGAACGAAGGCTGAGGGGCGGGAAGGAGAGCTTCGCGGACGCCCGGAGCGCATAACGACCTGATTGCCATCCATCATCAGGGCAAAATAAGCATGTGGACTGCTCGGCAGTTGCATCACGTGCTGTTGCTGCTAACGCGGTGAGCTTGGGAGGGGATTCGCTTCCGAAATGACCGATGGCGGCCGTGAAGAAGAGGCGTGGCTCCAGCTACTTGTAACCCGTTGCATGACTGTGCACAGCGCTCCGAAAGCCACGTCCAAAGCAAACGAAACGTGCAGGAAGGCATTCGCCAACGGGGGCGAAGTGAGAGGTCAGCCCCCGAGCTCATTGGGGCCGGCGTCTCTCGACAGGAGCTCCCCGCCGTTCGCGGCTGCCACGCCGTCTTCTGTGTGCTCGTTTCGGCTTTGTGCCGGTCCGCTGTTTCGGAGTGCCCGTCCTGCGCAATAGTCCGTATCTGTTTGTGTGTTGTCAGTGAACTATCGAGGCTTGGCGCCTGCCTGTCCGACGCCTCGCTAGGCGTCACGAGATGCCAAGCCTCACCGACAGCGTGTCGGTTTATCGTGTCGAAAAGTGAGGCCGGATGCTTGCACCAACGAAGCACAAGGAAGCACGTTAACGATGAGTAGAGCTTTGGTTCTGCTATGTCTCGATACATTCAGGCTACAAGTGATGCTGTCAAAGGTGTGGATACAGCCATATGCACACATATGCGTGGTGACTTGATGCCCCAATGAAGTCACTCGATTCTTGTCATCGGACGAAGAGGCGGGACGGCGTTGAATGGCTGAACAGGCAGCGACAAGTAGATGTGGATGTGTGTCGCGCCGCATCAATCGGTGGCAGGCTATTCAGGCTTGGCTCGGCGCTTCGCGCCTCACCTTCGCCCCACCTGTGGCAGGATCTGGCCGTCCGTGAGCATGTCTGTCTTGGTTGCAGCCGGCAAGGGCAGAGAAGGACGCGGCGCTCGCAAGTGGGCGATTGTTTCGGTATGAGTGGCTCGCACAGGATAAGACACGTGCCGATACTCAAGATGAGATACACTTTTCGAACTGCCGTCCGCACTGCCAGGGTCACACAGGACGACGGCATTCAGTCGTCTCTCCTCGCCGATGTGATTGGACAGACGGGAATGAACAGCCGGACCAGTAGGAGGCAATGCGAGGTGTCTTTCCTGGAGCAACACCCTCGCTCGACGATTGGAAGCAGCGAATCTGCTCCCATAGATATTCCGGGCTTCCTTGCCTGCACGCGTGACACACACACACACACACACACACACAAAGAGAGAGAGAGAGAGAGAGACAGAGAGTGAGACATGGCTGCAGCTGGAATCAACGATTGAAGCGTGCCGTTGGCACCTCGGATGAAGCCCGTGTAGCCGATAATGGCCCTCTCGGCGAGCGGCGCCGTCTCTTCGCTGCGGGCTTTTCCTGCTGGAGCCGTTTGTGTTCGTTCATACGTCACGTGTCGCGCCCCTTTGCCGACTGCTGCTGGGGGCTTTCCATGATGCACCCTGAGCTTACACTCCACTCTGAAGACCCAACAAAGGGACGACTGAGTCTCGCCTCGCTCCTTTCTCGTCGCCAGCCTTGCCTGCGCATGTCATGATAGAGCCCTGGCTCCTGTGGGCAATGGAAGTGGAAGATGTCCCTGCCACGACAGCACACACACACTCAGGCTCATGTGTCGCAGAACGCTGCCTTTTGCAATGGGGCAGTCCCTGACCTTCCATGATTGCCGTCTCGTGGTTTCCGAAATACAGTGAAGAACTTGAGGTCACCGAACTTCATCTCGCAAGATGGGCCTCCGCCCCGCTTGCTGGAGGGAGAGAGCGAGGCATTCTGCCACGCTGGCATAATCGCGCCTCGACGGCGGCCCCAGATTGCAATCTAAGAAATGCGTGTGGCGCACTCATCGCAATCGCACTTGTGTCATTACGTACATTTCGTGAGTTCCTGCCGGCTTCCTGGTAGTACCTCCACTTGAGGCACGGCAAAAAACAAACATCAATCTGCCTGTCACATAAAAAGAGTCAGTTCCCACGTCACTGCCATGACGCACTCATACCAACTGATACGCACCCACGCACAAATACACACACACACACACACACACACATACGCACACACACACACACAGACAGAGAGAGAGAGAGAGAGGGAGAGACGCATAACGTATACATGTACATCCAGGTCACCAGACAGATCTAGATGAGAATTCGTATGCGGCTCCACGCCAATGCCTCATAGATGGATAAAAGGAACACGCCGCACCACATCTATCGGTCGCCGAGAGACATACAGCGACATCGACATCCATTCATGTCTGCACGTCATATTGAATTTCCTCTTCTGTCCTGTACTCATAGGCCCTCCATAGATTCCACCACGACTTGAAGATTGGGGACCGAATAGATGGCCGCACGTACTGGCATCCGTCATCAAACGTCCCAATAGGCGGCCCCGTGCGCCAGCAACCAACCCACAGCCACGCAAATGAGTGTCGTTCTGTGTGGCTCTTGAGAAACTTAGCCCAACTATCATGACCCATCCATGGCTTCACGCCCCCGTTATAGTGCAGAACCACAGGCTGCCACGACGAATTGGCAGCGTTAGTGTCCATCGCACGAAGACCTGCACAAAAGCAGAGAGAGTGTTAGGATGCAGGAAAGGCAGCAGGAGTGTGTGAGCCGTTACCTCCGTCGACAAAGACGTTGTACTCCGCTGGCAGCTCACGGAAGCTGCCATTGAAGAAGAGATTCAAACTCAGCTGGTCATCGAGTCCCCACTGGCTGTTCCATCCCCTAATGGTGGATGAGGCATTGGAGCACCGAATAGCTGGCAGATTCATCAGCAAAACACCTGAAAGACGGACCCAACCGAGAGATGTTCGTGTCACACTTCGTATGGCCGTTGCTCTATTCATTCTGCCTTACCCGAATTAAATGCTCTTCTGCCTCCATTCCACCAAACTTTGTCGTGCGCTCCGACACTGAGCAGTAGCGGGTAAGGGTTGGTCAGCGGCCTGCCCGCCACAGCTTCATCAGGTCGGAGAGGCACCGCAAACAAACCCTCCAGCGATCCGTTGACGATTACATCGTAATCAAGGTAAAGAACTTGTGCGATAGACAGAGGTAGTATGTCAGGCAGTAGGATGCGTAGATTGGCCGCACGCGTAATACGGGCTTCGTTGCTGTTATAACTGTTGCGTCGCACTGCTGAGCCGACGCGATAGCTTCTCAGTGCCGGAAATGTGTCCGCAAACTGGGTAAAGTTGATCAGGTGCAGCTGCAAAGAGGGCCACCTTCTCCTCGACGCTGCTTCGTCCTCAAGAGCAACGATTGTTGGGTGGTGAGCTGACACATCCATCGTCACAAGATGTATATCAAGGCAGCCCGCCAGCGTCGTGTTGCGATGGTTGACGTGTATTGAGTTGAGGAGCGTCGGAATGGGCTGAAGGCCGGCACCATCCACACCAAGGGCTATGTGGGCCTTGCGATCACCACACGGCCGGTCCGAAGTGGCGCTGCCCTGTGCTCGCGTCATGCAGTCGCGGAAGGCGTCTGTATCTGGAAAGCCAGTGGCCCATAGAGACTGGGATGAGAGCTCCAGCGGCTGACGGCCTCTCGTCGGGAGGCGGAAAGGGGGCATGAGCTGCGCGAGGAGGAAGAAAGCCACCAGCACCACCATCCACATCTTGCACCGCACACATCTTGCGTATGCCATGCGTCGCCACCGGACAGCTTCAACGCTGCAGAGAGAAAGAAGATGCGGAATGACCCTGTTTCTTTCTTCTGTTCGCATGTGCGTTGGCCCTGCTGACCTTCCATTCGAGAGGGATGGTCAGCAACGGAATGGTCATCGAGGGCCGGGACCTCCGCGATGAGCTGATTCCAATTGGCTGATTCGTTTGCGAGATCTGGTCACGTGAATAACGAAGCAACACAAGACAGCAACAACAAAGTCCCCAACACACACACGGGAGGAGCGCTTTCCCAACACACAGGTTTGGTTTTTTTCTCTCCGGAATCTGAGCTCGCAGACGGAGGGAGGGGAAAAGGGAAGAAAGAGGAATGAGAGCAGTGACGTCGAGACGACCGGTCAGCGACGAGCCTCAGGGCCAGCCCGGTAAGAGCATCACGCAACACATGAGAGTGACTGCTTCGTCTGTACATCTGCAGATCTGCATGTGCACGTGCACGGGTGTGTGGCATTGCATGTTTGTAGGCTATTGCCCTGATAGCTCGACTGGGCCCGGCTGGAAACCAACATCCTCATAGAGTGGTGCAGGCATTTTGGCCTTCGAGTACGCGTCTGTCCATGCATGCCCTGAATGATGAGTGACTCTTTGCGTGCGTGTCCTGTGTGCACGCAGGAAGAAGATATGGTTCAGGGGCTGGAATCTGTCCGCCGCTTCGTTCTGTACAACGACACACTTTCGGGCAGGAGCTGACGAGGAAAGGGGTACCTTCAAATTGCGAAAGCGATGACCTCAGCGGTGCATGCATGGCTCAAGGCGCTCAGACGTCGCTTGGGCTGCGAGCGCCGTGACGGCATCCGCAGAGGTAGATGCACCGCCACAAGACTACTGGCTGACGTAATGAATGTGACGGGCCGCTGTGTGTTCGCTCTTGGTCAATCAAGGTGGAGCGGTGGTACGTGGGGAGCAGGAGCATAGCCCTCCGAGGGCGGACCTTCAGGAAGCACTCGATAGCATCGAATCGGTGAGTGATGCCATCGACCGAAATGCAAATATCCGCCTTTGCATGACTCACGTGTGTGTGTGAGTGTGTGTGTGTGTGTGGCTTGTGTGTCAGGGTGTCGCTAGAGCAGGGCAGGCGAAGCAGATCATTGCAGACGCCATCCGTGCAGAGGTCAGCAGCGAGATGACAGTCCAGAAAAGCTCAGCTAGGCATGCGAGTGTTTCTGTCTGTGTCACCTGCAGGACGTATTGTTGCCGGCTGACCGCCTGTCGGTGCTGCAGGGCCATGTCAGGGACGCCCAGACATCACTCAATACCGCTGTAGATCAGCTGGCCACACTGCCACACACAGACACTCGTCTCACACAGGTAGGGTGGGGATGCGATGCATGGGATCTATAGCTGGCCAGTCAATCGACCTACCAACAGAGCATCTCTGGTTGTGTTGTGTGTCTGTCTGTGTCAGCCTTCTGATGGTGACGGCAAGACATTCCGGTGCATCCATTACGCGAGTAGCGTTACAGTGAGCTCAGATGGGATCTCCACACCGGCACACCAGACGACAGGAGCCGCCCGCGCGTTGACCAGTTCACGGTGGCTGGCCTGCCTGCCCTTTTGTCGCAAGCGGGCACGTGTGGCGAAGAGCCCGTCCGCTGCTGCCAATGGAATTGGTACGCAGAACAGACGCACGAGACGATCGTGATGGTGGTGTTCTGTGTATGGTGTGGTGCAGGTCTTTTCGTGGGTGCAGCTGGCGTTGTTGAGGAGAGTGATAGTGCCCAGTCAAACGTGCGTGACGCGACGCACACGAGAAGTGACCATACCGATTGCGTACTTCTGCCATTCCCTCGTCGTTGGGTGTCAGGATTACGGCCGTCCCTGTCTGGCTGGGCTTCCCCCGGGCGTCATGGTCACATGGGGTCTTTCCTGGCCACCAGACGCGCCGCCCGTCTGACCCGTGTCAACCAGGAGACCCGCCAGAAGGCCACCGACAGGACATTCGGCGTCTTCAGGCACTTTGCGATGACGGACGACGAGTGCGGGACCTACGGCAAGATCCAGAAACTGCATCAAGTCAAGCACCTGGTGAGTGGCGGGGAGACGGTGGGGATGCTGTATGTATTAGTCTGCTGTGTGTGTGGCTGCAGGGCATGATCCAGACGGCCTATGTGCAGTTCTCCAGTGTGGTGCCGTCTGTGGCCGAGTGGCTCGAGGCGTCAAGGGCGACACTCACGCGCCTGCATGTTGCCTCAGGGCACTACGACAATTGCTACACCACCGGCGACGACCGGGGGCCAGGTCTGCCTCTGGTCTTCCCGAGGCTGACATTCATGAGGATCGAACCAATCGAGGGAAAGTGGCTGCACCACATGAGGTGGGTAAGGTGAGACGGGTCACCAGATGTCACCATTTCAGCTGTGTTGTGTGTGTCCCACAGCGCACGTCGGTGGAGGTTTTCCGCCCTGAGGACTCTTCAAGTCAGTGGCGACTCCTGCGGCTCAATTGGAGACGATGAGCATAATGCAAAGAAACAGGAAGCCCTTGTGAGAGTGCTTGAGGCGTCACCCAGCATCGAGGAGCTGCAGTGCGACAGAGGCAGCCGCCCATACATCTGTGATGAAGGCACGGCGTTTGGCGACGCCCAGTGGGCCGACTTCATTGCCGCCCTCGGCCGCTGCCCGCACATCAGGACCATCGACGGCCTGGTGATCAGCATGGACGGCCAGCTGGGCCGCCTGGCTGATCTCAAGAACGGCCTCAGCCAACACTGGGGCAAACCAGAGACCAGAGGTAAAGGCGCCACACACACACACACACACACGCACAAGGGGTCCCGCAATTGTCCAACCGGTTGATTGCTGTGCAGGTGCGCGCAAGCAGCTGAGATTCCTGGTACGTCGTCCATCGATCGGTCCCGAATTCGGGCGGCAGGGGGTGGATATCGGCCAGTGGGCGGCGGAGGTCAATTGTGAGGTCACGTGGGCGCCAGCCGGCGTCTTGGGGAGGGAGCTGACCATCGACTGTGGCAGTGATGCTGGGAGGGCCCACCCCGCCCCCGTCCCTGGCAGCATGTACGGCCAGATGGCGACACAGCTGGCGGCCAAGGCCACTACCGTCCGTTTGAAGCTCGGTGGGACAGCGCTGCATTCCTCTTGGCGTGGCAAGCTCATCTTGCCCAAAGCCACCGACCTCACCATTGAGATCACCGAGGGTGCTAGCGCCTCAGACGTGATGAATAGCATTCCCGACTGGCTGATCGACACAGAGGGGGACGATCCAGCGGAGGGATGGGCGAGCCCATTCTCGTCTGTCGATGACGTAGACTTGCATTTTGGCACCACTCTGTCTGTAGCTGACCTGCCTGCTGCCCCCAGCAAGCTCAGCCTTCTCATGGGGGGCCTGACCGACTTAGAGCTGGTGACTTTCATTTCTGTGTCCAGCCTGGCCACTGCCTGTGAGCTGCTGTCTTACCTGTCTGTGCGGGAGCTGACGGAATGTCGCATCGCGGCGGATGATGTGTCAAGTGAGTGGACTGACGTCGTGCCGGCTGCGTGGGGCCTCCGGTGCCCACACATAGAGGAAATAAGGGGTTACACGCTGCCTAGCAAAAATCACGCGCTGTCGTTTGTGGAGGCTGTCGACACACTCCGACCAGCCAAAGTGTCCTTTGTGCTGGGGTGGGGTGGGGTCATGCATGACCTCCGTGACTTTGCGTGTGAGTGCTATGAGCAGTTGAGCGAAGACTACACCATCACAAAGGTGGACTCAGATTGGGACGAAAATCTGCCGTCTCTCGATGTAGAGCTGGAGGCGAAATGAATAATGAGACAAGCAGGCAGAGAGAGGCAGGGGAGTCTGTCTGTCTGTGGAGTGAGTGACGGATGTTAGTTATGCGTAGAGTAGCGGGCGGAATGTGGGATGATGGGGAGTAGACAGCGTTTATTCGATGATAATCAATCGGTGTGGACGGACTGACTGCAGCTGACCAGGTGAAAGGAATTGAAGTGTGTGTGTGTATCGGCTCAAACGCCAGATGAGAAAGGCACGCAATCGTGATGATTCAGAAACTTAGGAAACACAAGACATACAAAGCAAGTGTCACTCAACCATTCACTGATCGATGTCCATGAAGATGCACACACACACACAGCAAGCCAGTGTCACGAGCAAACACAAGAGAGAGTGTGTCGAGTAGCGCATTACCTAGGGAGGCCATCAGCACACAAGACACGCCACTCACGGCACCCCTTCCCTCACTGTCTCATTCTTCGTGGAGCAGAGGAAAGGGGCGCACACACACACACACCCAAACACACACAGAGAGGAAGAGACATACGCACACACACCCACACCCACCCACCCACCCACACACGCACGAGACATATCATCATCGTCGCAGAGAGAGAGAGAGTGTGTGTGCATCGCCGAGCCAGATGGAGGCGTGGACGGATGCCTGCATCGGTGCCAACAAAAGGTGTCGAGCATGTGGCACGGATCCATCCATCCGTCCGTCCGTCCGTCCATCCGTCCATATGGAGGTGAGTGAGGGTATTGATCGATTGGTCGCCTTCTACGCAGCAGCAAGTGAGTGAGTAGATAGGAAGCAGACAGCGACAAAATGTGGCTGGGTCGATGTGGTGATGCATGTGGTGGCTCTGCAGCGTCTCTCTACCTTCCTCGACGTAGTAGGGTAGACGGCACGCCCCTCTCCCTCTCCCCC